CAAACCATACGGGGAAGACGCAGGAGATATCAGGGAAAAGCCACCAATCAGAAAGTGTAAAATTGGCGTTATTCGATGGGAATGACCGGCTCTGCTGCTGTTGACTCATCGGTGGATAGCTACCTTAGTTCAGAGGCTTTCTACAGCCATCCACGTGTCCGTAGTCGGCTTTCATGTACCAGATCGTAAAACGACAATGGTGATGTTTCGAAAGCGCAGATACTACACAAAACCCGGGGCAAGGCTAAAAAGCTTCCATGGACGGAAAAACCGCCTTCGCCACTTGTGGCTGGTACCTTCCCTGCGGCTTTACGCAAGAATCTGTCGCAGAAGAAGCTGTAGAAAAATATCATCGGAAGCCTCCCGCAAAACTCCCGTGAAAATGTGGAAAACACCAGTACACACACACCCATGGGTCATGTGGCGGCTAAACTGACATGGTAGAAGCTTCGGAACTCCACATCAGCCACTTGTGCCACAGACGACTACGCCACGTTTCACAGGTGCTGTTTGTCAGTGGACGAATTCTGCGAATTTCCCGACTCTGTAGACGTCATATTGACTGCGTTGCCATGACCCTGACCGTTCTAGCCAATGACGCCTAAGCCGGCCATTTCTACCAACCATTGCGCAAACCCAGCACTCAGAACCCAGTTGCTACTACACGCTCGCAACGCCTGCCTCGAGGCAGAAGGGCTTGGGTCAGCTGGAACCCTGAAAATTCAAACCAAAGTAGTCTTGTAGTTTCATGCCTCGACGGTGTCTGTTGCAGCCATTTCTGGAACACCTGCTTGCAGAGCGGCGCTGAAGGAAGCCGCACCAAAGGCCGATTATCTCACGAACCAGAGCAGCTACGGGGATTCTGAAAACACCGTTGTGTTCGGAAAGCCCGCTTTTGGCAGCAATGTGGCATTAAAAACTCCCAGATGTGTAAAACGGACGATTTGCCCAGGTGGGGTTCCTGTGCGACGTGCACTGGCGCAGGCCCTCATTCCAGCCTTAGCCCTGCGTGCTCTTCACCCTCTGCCCGGCGGCTTAGTGATATACGCTACACTTCTTTTTTCATCCCAGTGAAGCTTACAAGTTTTCAGACAATTCACGTCTGTTTCTAATCCATCAAAAAGCCATCTCTTCCCACCGCAAAAGCGCCAGGTCGGCTTATCCATCGAAATATCGGCCTTGTCCTTAAAGTCAGGCACCACCCCGTCGGCCAGTGCCTTCTCCAGAAAACGAAGGACGTTTTTGGCCACAGGCCTGGAATCCACATCCAAACAAACCTTCCACTCGAACGTCCTGCCCGAAAGTTCCCTACAACTAGCCATTCCAGCTTCCATAACATTCCAGCACTCCTAGCTCAAGAAACACCAAGAAGCAACAGTCCCACAGAACAATTCCACCATGAACGCCCAAGCAAAGAAAAACAGAAAGATCTCGTGTGTCCACTGTCGAAAACTCAAACGTAAGTGTGACGGCGAGCTGCCGTGTCTGAACTGCCAGAAACGAAACATTGTCTGTGAATATTCCCCAACAGACAGACGCAGCCAGCGGTTCTCGTTGGTGTACATCAAGTCCTTGGAAACGAATGCCGAAATCTACGAAAACATCCTCAACGAGTTGGTGCTGTTGCGTGGCGACAAGGACGCCTTGGCTGCCAAATTGTCTTCTTTGGAAGCGACTTTCCCCGTCACCGCTCTGCCCAAACCATTGCACCAGTTGCTGGAAGAAATGGAGGCCATCCAGCTGAATGAAGAAAGCGCCGAAAATGAACGTGCCCATCTTGACGATGAAGAAAATTACTACGGCCCTGGTTCCATCTACCATTTTGGCGAGTACACCACGCCCGAACTGCTGAAGGGCCTGCCGTCAGACCAAGTCCTCACTGGCTTGGAAACGGTGCACACCAACTACGACTTCATCAAAAGCGTGGTGGTCAATTTCTTCACTCACCAGTGGCCGCTGCTGAACTCCTACTACCTCGATAAGGAAGCCATTTTGGCCGATCTTCACAAGGGCAATGTCTTGAACAGTACTTACGTCTCCGAGGAGCTTCTTTATGCAATTTGCGCCAACTCCGAACTGCTTTCTTACGAGACCGCCGATGCATACAAGCTTTTGGCATTGAGCAAGGTGTATCCCACAGAGGTGAAGCTGCTGATACCGTTGGCGCAAGCATACATGCTTTTGGCAGCCCATGAGTTCTCTCTAGGCAAGGTGACTAGTGGCTGGCAGCTTTCTGGGTCAGCCATGCGAATGGGCTTTGATTTGGGCTTTCACCACAATGACGGACCTGATATATGTCCAAGGAAAAATCGTCTTTTATTTGGCTTCATGCTCATTGACTCATACATTTGCATGGCGGTCGGAAGGCCTAACACCATCACACAGAATAATGTTCCAGTAAAGCGGTTGCCCGACGAAGACGATGCCAACTTTCTCAACATTCGTGACTCTGTTCTGCTATTGGAACTCACGAGACCAATGCACAAAGCTACTTACGAGCCAATTCTGTTCAACAAAGACCCCAGAATCAACTACTTGTTAAAGTTTAACCGGTCCAAGATGTTCAATGTGAAGATCTTGAAGTGGAAGTCGGATCTTGATCCTGCTTCTCACTGGCTGTACGCACTGCTCAAGGCGCTGGACGATTTGGCTTTTCAAAATCATAACCTCAAGTTCTTGTACTGGTATATCCTTCTTTTCATCAACAAGCCTTTCTTGCATGTTCCAAGACAGTACTCTGCGGGTTATATCATCGAGGAGATGTCCAAGGAGGTGCATTTGATTGTTAACCTGCGTCTTGAGCGCATGGAAAGAGAGGCTAGAGCTCAACAGCTTTATCCTCTCGATGCAATCAAGTTTGTGCGGTATGATCAGTCTGACCCTTACCACTGGGCCACCTTGGACATTTGCATGATTACGCTATTGTCACATGTTGTGGTCACTTTAATCATGGATCATCCTAACAGTTACTTGTACATGGAGAAGCATTTGAAGGCTTACACAAGATACCTCAATGGTGTGAGTGCCAGAAAGTACAAGTGTAAGTTCAGTGCCATGGAGCGTCTCTTGGGAAGATACAACGAGTGGAGATCTTCTCGCACAGATTTACCTGCGGTGAAACTGGCTCCATCTGAAGAAGCCTACGAGATGAAGCAGCTCAAGGAAAGTATTGATGAAGCATCACCACACTCTCTTCTGACAGGTTCAGAGCACGCAGAGACCCCAGGTTCAGCCTACGGCATCACTTCGGGAAGTGATTGTAATCTGCCCTTCGATAAGAAGGTCAAAAATGAAAGCAGACCTGATTACGTTGATGCCAACCAGAATCTTGCTCCACCTCCACCTTTCCAAGCTCCTCCATATCAACAGCAGCCTCCACTTCAAATGATGGAACGGGTTCAATTTGACAATTCGCAGATGGGGCCACCCTTCTACCAACCACCTCCCCAAGGATTTGGACCTTATGGCATGCCACAAGCCCCTATGTATCACCACGCTCCACCGCACAACATGCCAGCTCCAGGTTCTCATCCACCAAGACCACCTAATCAACCGCACCCACAGCACAATCCTCCACAAATGACGCCCATGACGTATGGCCAGATGCCACCCCAGGTTGGTGAGGTCCAAAGCACGCCACATAGCGCATATAGCGTGCCGCAGTCGATCTCCACCATGTCTTGTGAGCCTTCGCTTGCTTCTGTACCTCTGTACCAAGGTACCATAATAGACGAGGAAACGTCTGATTTGCAGAGCAACAGGCAGTTTGCAGGCAGAAATTCTGTTCCTCCCCAATTTGAGAATTTCACCATGGGTGATGGTTTACCGCAAGAGGGTAGCATGCAACAGAATATCAATTTTTACGAAGCCATGACCCAGCCATTACCAGACACACTTGGCTTCAACGAGTTTCAAACAGACCGCACAGCATCCAGCGATAATGTGGGTCAAATGATGGACACTTTGTTCAGCAACACAGGAGAAGAGTTTGAGGCCCCTACGGAACAGTTTAACTGGGAAAAGCTTTTCGACGAGAAGTACGCTGTTGCATAGGCAAGCGAGCACGATGGTGTGAGCGACACTCACGGATATGTATAATGTACTTTTGGTTTGACGACACTTTAGTAGAAAGAGTAGAGCCATTACTATTCTTAAATGAGACAATTCTAGTTGTGAATTTGTTGACGTCTTTGAAAATTGGTCCGAGTATGTGATCAACATTAAAAGCTAAATAGAGTTGAAGAACGGTGCCGGAAATCTGAGAAATGTGTCAAACCTGTCAAGCGGCAATCACGCTGTTATGCGTTTACAGTGCCATTTTTTTCTCAAATGCTGTTGGACAGAAATTTCCATTCATGTTATGATTTTTCATTGAGATGTTGTTTCAAGAGCATCTATTTCACTTTCGCTTATATGCTGGCATTACGGTTTCGACCGGCGACTTACATAGAGGAATGCTACATACTCTTAGAGATTTGGAGACGTTTTAGTACCTTTGAAATTATGATGGAATTGATGGACCGACGGCATTGTCGAAAATCGAGAAATACGGATCAAGAGTCAAACCAAACTTCAAGATTCTCCCCAACACATTCTAAAGGTATCGAATACGTTTTTGTCATTCTGCTCACGTTTTGGTAGGATCGGAAAGTATTAAACTAAAGAGAGTGATGCTATATTCCACCAATTGAGGGCTGTCTTCCCCATAGTGTGCTTTTCCGAAAGTGACTCAAATTTGCACCCATTCTGCATCGGAGTCTCCACACCGATCATCAACATGCGGTACACACTACAAGCGTCAGTGTCACAAGCAATTCTTAACCTTAGCGAAACTTTTAGAAAACCTCCCCATCCAATTACATTCCATACCTTCACCAATTGAACACCATGGTATGCTGGCTTCCTGGTGAAAAATCGGGGTGCGGAGTGCACAGAACCTTCTCGAAAATTTTCGGCCACTATATAAGCAGCGCATTTCCCCCAGATCCAAGAACCACCAAATGTTGAGATCCAGAATCCCCAGCACTAGAGCGTTTGTGCGTCACCTCTCGCACAAGGAGTTGAAATTCGGCGTTGAAGGCAGAGCCGCCCTTCTCAAGGGTGTGAACACCTTGGCCGACGCTGTTTCCGTGACTTTGGGTCCAAAGGGTAGAAACGTGCTCATTGAGCAGCAGTTTGGTTCTCCCAAGATCACCAAGGATGGTGTCACCGTGGCCAAGTCCATCACCCTCAAGGACAAGTTTGAGGACATGGGCGCCAAGTTGTTGCAGGAGGTTGCCTCCAAGACCAACGAGCTGGCTGGTGATGGTACCACCTCTGCCACCGTTTTGGGCAGATCCATCTTCACCGAGTCCGTGAAGAACGTGGCCGCTGGCTGCAACCCTATGGACTTGCGTAGAGGTACCCAGGCTGCCGTTGAGGCTGTGGTTGAGTTCTTGCAGCTGAACAAGAAGGAGATCACCACCTCTGAAGAGATTGCCCAGGTGGCCACCATCTCCGCCAACGGTGACGCCCACATTGGTAACTTGTTGGCTTCTGCCATGGAGAAGGTCGGAAAAGAGGGCGTTATCACCGTCAAGGAGGGTAAGACCTTGGAGGACGAGTTGGAGGTGACTGAGGGTATGAAGTTTGACCGTGGTTACATCTCCCCATACTTCATCACCAACGCCAAGAGCGGTAAGGTTGAGTTTGAGAACCCCTTGATCCTCTTGTCTGAGAAGAAGCTCTCCTCCATTCAGGACATCTTGCCTTCTCTTGAGTTGGCCAACCAGACCAGAAGACCTCTTTTGATCTTGGCTGAGGACATTGACGGTGAGGCTCTTGCCGCCTGTATCTTGAACAAGTTGAGAGGTCAGGTCCAGGTCTGTGCTGTCAAGGCCCCAGGCTTTGGTGACAACAGAAAGAACACTTTGGGTGACATTGCCATCCTTTCCGGTGGTACCGTGTTTACCGAGGAGTTGGACCTCAAGCCTGAGAGCGCTACTGTTGAGCAGTTGGGCTCTGCTGGCTCCATCACCATCACCAAGGAGGACACTGTCATCTTGAACGGTGAGGGTCTCAAGGAGAACATCCAGGCCAGATGCGAGCAGATCAGAAACTCTGTTGACGACACTCAGACCTCCGAGTACGAGAGAGAGAAGTTGCAGGAGCGTTTGGCTAAGTTGTCTGGCGGTGTTGCCGTCGTCAAGGTTGGTGGTACCTCTGAGGTTGAGGTTGGTGAGAAGAAGGACAGATACGACGATGCTTTGAACGCCACCAGAGCTGCTGTCCAGGAAGGTATCTTGCCAGGTGGTGGTACTGCCTTGATCAAGGCTTCCAGAATCTTGGACGAGGTCAAGGAGAAGGCCGCCAACTTTGACCAGAAGTTGGGTGTTGAGATCATCAGATCTGCCATCCTCAAGCCTGCCAAGAGAATCATTGAGAACGCCGGTGAGGAGGGTTCTGTCATTGTTGGCAAGATCTACGACGAGCCTGAGTTCAACAAGGGTTACGACTCTTCCAAGGGCGAGTTCACCGACATGATTGCCTCTGGTATCATTGATCCATTCAAGGTTGTCAAGAACGGTTTGGTTGACGCTTCTGGTGTCGCCTCCCTTTTGGCCACCACCGAGTGTGCCATCACCGATGCCCCAGAGCCCAAGGGTCCTCCACCAGCTGGCGGCATGGGCGGCGGCGGCATGGGTGGCATGGGTGGCATGCCAGGTATGTTCTAAGCGTACAATCGCCTCTTGTAAATAGACTGTACAAAATGACAAAGAATAGTTAAGAGTTGATTCAGTGTAGGAAGTTTGTGAGTGCAGCCACTTCGTTGGAGTTTGACGAGACTCAATGTGGGATGCTTTGTGTGATTTCAAGAATGGTCATTCAATGGATAAATGATATTTGTGAGAGAAACGGTAGTAGTAGTGGTAGTAGTAGTAGTAGTAGTAGTAGTAGATAAGGTACCGCTGTGAGGCTCTATTGAAACATTCGACTAGTTCAAACTTTTTCTATACCTCTAATCAGAATACCATTTGGCGTCAATAATAACTAATTCATGTTGAAGAAAATCGAAAAATTAGAATATTAACGGAAGAAACCCCACTTTTTATGTTTCACGATAAAGCCGGCTCCTCACTCTCACCATTTTGCACCCACACATCGAACCCTGGTGGTAAACCTAACAAATACAAAACACACTCTTGAAACATCGTCAACCAATAATTTGATCACCACCCCGAAACCCACCCTCTCTTCACCTGCCAAAACGAAAAATCCCAAAAAGTGGAAGTTTTTCAGCACCCCCACATTTCGCTTATATAGCCTCACTTGTAGCCTCACTCATCTCATCTCGCACATGGACCATGTTTGAAGACATCGTACGCCACAGCAAGTACAGACAAGCTGGGCTCAAGCGGTCTCGATATGAACGTCTTGTTGATCTTCAGGTCCGGAAAAACCTCGTAAAAGAGGTGGAGAGGCTCCGTGGGTCCGTATTGGACCAGGCCTCCAGAAAAGAGCTTCTACGGCGTGCTTCAGAAATCATCAAAAGCCGATCGCTACCGGAAGAAACTTATGAGTTTTGGCATTCTGGGAAGCTGGGTGAGACGCCCTTGATCGAGGAGCTTGTGGCTGAGGCTGCAGATTTAGAGAAACACGCTAGTGCTGATATCAACAATGGAACAAACAACACAAACGACGTCGACGGCGACGATAGCGACGATGAGAGCGATAGCCTGGACTCGAGCTCTGAAAGCGAGGATATCGAAGAACTTGAGGAGGATGTGGAAGAGGAGGTCATGGACGACGAGGTTCATCCAGATACCCTCTATGCTGCTAGGAAGCTCAAGAAATGGGAAAGCGGATTGGACACAGCACGCTCGTGGGCGAGAGATCGCTTTATTCTCACCAAAGCAGGAATGGAATTCCCGGGGCTTCAAGATGAAAGACAGTCTGTGGTGAAAAGCCATATCACCAATCTCCTGAACCTTCTACATGTCAACATTCTTCGACAGCAATGGGACCTCGCGTACAGGGCCTTTTCGCTTCTTCTCCGTTTTGACTACGTTGATCTCCGTGCTATATGGCCCTTGGGTGTCGAAATATTGACCAGACGGAAGGAAGAATTGGTCAGGCAGAACACAGGCTCCAGACTCGAGCTCTTGAAGTGCAGGCGCTTCTTGGAATGGTTGGAGCTCGTGTATCCTGTATTGCCTAGTGTTCTTTTGACCACTCAGTCCCGTGTGGGGCCTGTTTTTCGTGCTGGTTCCAGAAGACATGCTCCAGCTTATGTGGCGGCAGGACTTTGGCAGCTTTTGGTGGAGAAACAGTACGTGAAACTCCGAGAGTCTCTAGATGAGTTGCTTCTCGTGCCACCGTATTCTATCGATGGCGGCTTCTTCTACATCCAAGCCTTGTGTTGTCTTTGTGAGAACATTCATTTGGCTGACATATACGTGCATTTTGACACCAGAGGTTTTCCCGTTGACGCCGATATCGGTGACCTAGCAGAAGACATGATGCTCCTCGGTTCCAAAGAAACCATCCAAGCCCGCGTGTTGAGCAATATCTCGAAAATAGAGGAGCTGATAACCTCCTGCGAGTCTCTCGGCTTTGAGTATGCCAAATGGGACTTTGACGCCCAAATGAAAAGAGTCAAAGGTTACATGGAGGGCGCCATTCTGACCTTGATTCCCGAGAAGGCGGTTTCTCCAGAGGCTCCAGAAAGTTTTGGATTTTCCTTTCTACATGGCAAGATCGAACGGGCACCAACGGGTCCTCATACCATTGCCGAAAAACATTTATCAAGATTTACGACGTCCAATTCTAGAAAATCTTGGGTTTGGAACTGGTTTACCAAAAACGATGAAGCAACAGCTCGTTGCTTGAAGTGCCTGGAAGAAGTCCAAAAAAGCTCTGCTGGCTCCACGAAACAGTTCATGAAACATTTGCGGAAACATGGAATCAACGATCGTACCATGTACAATGAGTTCATACAATTGAGAAGCGATGAGCCCGTGAAGAAGAAGTCAAGGAAGAGACAAGCCAAAGCAGGTTCAAAACCTACGAAGCGTTCCAACAAAGAGGTTGAGCAAACTACAGCAATTCAAGGTATACCCTCGCCTCCAGCAACAGCAGGCGATTTGGTCACCAAAGAGCCTCCAGCGAAAAGAAGAAAAGTTCCCTTGGCAGTTCGTCCAAATGCTCCTTCTCGCACGCCACAAGCATCGGATTCTGCTCGTCAAACAGTTGAGCCAGATACGTTTTCGAATCCTCCAGATTCGCCACCAAGATCTGAAATGCGTCATTCGCCGGCGCCTTCCATCAAAGATGAACAATCTCCCATTGCATCCCCGGCACCAGTTGTTGATCCACAACAAGACGATAATCAAGATGAGATTTCATCGCCTACTCCTCTGGATAATAACCAGCAGGACAACGAAACATCTGAGAGACAAATTTCAAATGAGTCTTTGGAAAATGATGCTTTGGTGCATAGCGATAGAGCATCTACAGCGTCGGGTCCTGATGATTCAGAGCATGTGGAAGACCTAGCCCAATCAGATGACTCCATCCCTCAAATTCATTCAGAAAAATCTGGTCTGGATAAACCACTCACTGACTCTATTCCGCAAGGTCCACCAGAAACACCAAGGCTTCCAGACAATCCTGACTTAGCAATCGCTGTCAAAGAAGAGATCCTTGATGAGCTCAATTGTGAGCTTCTTGCAGGCGTCGAAGCAGCTGAATCTCCCGTCGAACCTCAACTTTCATCGCCAGCCCCGCAAACACCACCACCTGCACCATTTTCACCAGAACCAGAGTCGCCAGAGTCTCAAAACTTCATGAGCGCAAAGAAAAAGCCCGTTCGTCGTCAGTCCAACTTCTCACCTGAAAGCACTTTCACTGAGTCCCAGGGCGATGCTGATATGAGTATTCGTTTTAGAGAGTTCGCTGTGCAGACAAAAGACCCATTTCGTGTTGATCGGAGCTTCCTCGAAGATACTGAGGAGGAACAGACAATTCAACTGCCTACTCAGCACTTTGATGATATCCCTGACACTTTGAGGTTTAGAGAAGAATTACCTGAAACGGAGAAGGACACTTCTGAGAGAACTGGCATCAAAAGCGAGGATGAAGAGTCCCAAAACATTCTCGAATCTCAATCATCAAATTCTGAATATGGAGACGCTCAATCCAGGTTTAATAGTGCAAGGAGAGCCCCCGATTCATCGAACGATTCATCCGAAGAAACTCAATTTTTCAGTTTCCAAGACACAGCATAGACATAGCAACACTGCATCACACAAAAACTGCATTAATAGATAAACGTTATAAATAACATTCCTAGCCAAATCATTTCTTGATCCTATATCCTATATCCTGTGTTAATTATCCGGGCTAGCACGAAACATTTCGACATTCTCGTTACTGGTATTTTCACGCTTCCTCACGGAGAGCGTGCCAGTGAATTCTGGAGAAAGCCTTATTTGACGAGTATCTGCCGAAGTGCCCGTGGTGATCGGAAATGCTGCCCAATCCTGTGGTATAAATGTGGTTTCAGGGACGGAGTACTCCGTCAGAGTGGGCGATGCTGCCAGAGTCGTCTGGTCACTATCTTCCCTGATTCTTTCTGGAACCACCGCTTCTGCTGTCGCTGTCGCTGTCGCCTCTTCTGCGGTAATGCCAGCTCCAGGCTGGGCAGTTTCTGCAGCAGTGGCGAAAACTGTGTTTCGACAGAGAGGACAGTTATCCGATCTTTCAAGCCAATCCTTGAGACATCCCATATGCAAAATGTGCCCACAACGAAGCTTCTTTGGACGCCGTCTGGCACCGAGCACCTTTTTCTTTACTTCATAGTACTCCTCTTCACACCACATATTGTCACGACAAATGATGCAGAGGTTGTCGCCCAGTTCCAAGTCTTCCTTGGTGGCATTGAGGAGTGATCTGTCAAGCTTCTTGCTCTGCTCTAAGAAGCTGCGGAGCTTCTTCGATTTGGAGTATACTTGAAGCACAGAAACGGCGATGCCTTGAAGTAACGTAATGGGAGGGTTGACGTTACCAAACACGTAAAGGAGGTACATGAACATCGAGTAAAGACAGCCTTTGGCGAATGCCACGAAAATCTCAAATGCCTGGGTGTAGATTGGTTTGTTCTCCCACACTCTCTCTGACACGTCTTCGTCATCAGGGTCTTCTTCCTCGCTCAAGTCCACGTCAACCTCATTTTCGGCTTCTTCAGGGTCGGATGTCTGATTATTTGGAATGGTGTAGAACATGAGCTCATATACGTGAAGAACAAGCTTCCCGAAGTACGCAAATGCCTCCATGCCAAGCACACCAAATTGGATGCCAAACAAAAGACTTCCAACGGAGCCAGTGCCTTGGAACACATCGTAAGCAAGGAATTTTGCCATCACCAAATCAGTCACAGTGAACATCTGTAGTAGAACCAGGGCACGGTAGGTTGCGAAGTTGTAGAACACTTGTCTCGAAGTTGAGATCTGATGCGGAATCAGGTTGACCATCTTCATCTGATAGGCGTCAAGGCGGTCAAACAAGATGATGTGGAAGATCTTGGACGAGATCGTGAGGTTGATCCACACTATGTTAAGGAGGAGATTGTTATCACCGAACATAATGATAAGCAAGTTGATCAAGTAAAATGGAAGCTCCTCGGAGATATGCTCGATTTCGATGATCCTCAACTCGTGGAAGATAAGCTTGATGCTGACGTACCCTGCCACAATAAAAAAACTCACAACAAAGTTGAGAAGCACAAGGAGTCGTACGCTTTCTGTAAGCTCAAACACAAATGTAAGATAATCCACTGAATGAGCAGCCAGGTACATCACGGCAGCAGCAAAAAGGCCGAAGCTAATGCCGCCATACGCTGCAATTGCAATGGCGCCTTTCAGAGGCATTGGGAAAGAATCTGGTGTATAATAAGTGGTGAATTGATGTAACAGCTCACTCGCGATATAGTGTCGTTTCGAATGTGTTTCCGGCTGCAGGTCGTGCGCAATTCTGGTTCCCCAGATTTTGGGTTTGGGTGTATATTAAGCTAAAGTTGGGGGATTCGTGATTTGTGAAGAGATTGGTCGCTTCTCAAGGGAGAGAGGTCTGTGCGTCTTCGTTTAGCAGCATCTGGAATCATAGTCTGGCCGTTTAGAATACGCATGGGCAGTCTGACAGGCAGTCGCAGGGGAGACCGGGAAGCCGGAGTAGAGGCAGGGCGTTTCCACTGGGTGGGTGATCTCTGAAGGTCAGCCAACGACAGATAGAAAACTTTGAGGTTTTTCTCGGTATGGCTGAGGTCTCTCGACAAGTCCAGATAATTTTTATCGATCGTCCCCGAGACCGCCTGGGTCTTTTGCGTAGTTGCTTTCTCGATGGCGTCAGCATGTCCCTTGCTCATGTTTGTGATGTCTCCCAAAACATTATCAACCACATGCTTTGTCTCCTGCTGCATTCGTGAGAATGCGCCTTGCACTTCCTTCGTGGCGACGTCTTTAAAGGAGTTGAGCGACGAGGTGGCGTTGTTGGTTCGGGTTTGAATCGACTCCAAACTTTGCGAGCTCTGCTGAACGTGGACCTTATGCTCCTTACTCAATTGCATCCTCTCTGACTTCATGAAATCAAGGGTACCTTCCTTCATTGCCTCGTTGTTGGCCTCGGCGCTTGACTGGACGAAACCATCGAGCATTCGGCTCATCTGCTGCATGTAAGTTTCCTTAAGGGCTTTGTAGTTTTCTGCCATGCGGGCTTTGTAGCATCTGTCGAAGTTCTTGTAGAGAGAAGACTCTTCCAGTAAATGGGTTTTGTCGATGTACTCTGCAAAGCTTTCGTTCTTCGACCGTATCTCTTCGATTTGAAGCGAGACATTCATGTCTTGAGTAACCTTGTGAAGGAGAGAGAAGTCCATCTTTGCAAGAGCCAGCTCGAACGTTGAAGTTTCCTTCTCTACCTTGGTCGAAACTTCTTTTAGTCTCGTCTCAAGAGTCTTTTTGAAAAGACCAAGATGCGTCTGAACCACAGTAGGAATTTCCTTGACATTCAGCAGAACTTGCATCATATCCTTCAAGTTTGCAATCATCTCGTTAACGTCCCGTATTATGCTCAGGACACCTGTGCCAGTCACAGTTGATACTCGCTCCTTCTGAGAGCTATACTTGTCCTTGAGAACCATAAAGTCTCTCGTAGTCTTCTGAAGCTCTGCAATTTTCGCAGCAAGGTCCAGCCTGCTTTGCGAGCTTTCGTTGAGTATATTGTCATTGAGCAGCTTGAGCTCCTCGATTTCACTGTCTCTGGCCAATAACTTGGCGTTCAATCCCGAGATTTGGGTGTCTTTTTCTTTCAACTCCGTCCTTAGTTCTGCGATGCGTCTTTCGAAATCCTCATAGTTTTGTACACTTATCTTGATGCTGTTGTCCTTTCCCTTGGTGGCCAAAAGGTCTCTATTAAGGCGGGATATTTCTGCGGACATGTCACGAATCTTGGTGCGTTTGAGCACGAGTTCACTATCGGCGGTAGACTGAGGAATATTCTTGATGTTTTTAGCTTTGGAGGCGTAATTGAGGGTCAGCATAGTCTCCATGACATTCAGCTTTGCCGGCGAAATGGTTGCAATTAAGGCCGTTTTAGTCTTTCCTCCAATTGAACCCTGTAGAAGGCGTGTGAGCTTGGACTCTCTATATGGTATATGTCTAGGTTCCCTGCCCTCGCTCAACGCACTGATGACTTTGCCTAGAGTTAGAAGACTTTGGTTGATCAGGCCTGCTTCTTTGGCGCCTGTGTCTGTAGCGCCAGACTTGATGATATCTTCCGACCCCGCGAGATCTACCAAGTTCATCTTGGACAGTCTGACAACTTCCTGACCGGAGGGCGACATGACTGTTTTGAGCAAGGTGATTGTGAATATAGTGTGGGAACGAGAGGACCGTGAGTTGAGCTTGGTGGAGCCCATCTTACGCTTGCCCAAACACTTTTGAAGCATCTCGAAGCCCAGACGAGCATCCAGAACGTCCAATTCGAACAAGTTTTGGATCATGGTTCCTCTTCCATCTCTTGAGCTGTCGCCTAGTAGCCTGAGCTTTGGCTTCTTTGCATTCAACTCAAGCTCGTCATTGATGAGATCATGAAGCTCCTCCTTGTACAACTCCACACACGAGAGTTTGACACAGATGTCGTCTTTGGCAACTTGGAAAATCTCTTGTAGTACTCGAGGCACAATGCCTGCGTGCTCCCCAACTAGCTCTCCCAACATAGTGTATGTTTTTCCAGATCCTGTCAGGCCGTATGCTAGTATAGTCACATTCATTCCTGCCATGAAATCTCGAAGCAATGGCCGAGCTATGTTTCTGTATATGAGCTCCTGGTCAGCATTGGCTCCGTAGACCTGGTCTAGAGTGAACACCTTACCTGTATTGTCGTTCAAGGACGTGTTGTTGACACTAACATAGGGCTCTTCTGTGGAGCAAAAGTCGTCTGGCACAGTCACAACAATGGGCAGCTGGGCAGTCACTTCTGCCTGGGTCCTTCTACGGACTCGGGCACTGACCTGGATTTTATCGGACATATAATACAAAAGACGGTGGTGGTTGTTGTTGTTTGTTTACTTGTGGAGCGATCCATGCAGGCCATCGCCATTTCCACGATCTCGAGATGCAGATGATTTACCACATGACCGTGGAACTACGAGGTGAATTTGTTTGAGTTAGTTATATTCAAAGCTGATGAGGTGAAATTAGAAACATTTACTTTTTCTGTCTTTGAGTCTCATGTCTGTTGCTGTTAAATGTGATGGCTGCGAAAAGTTGTGGGGATTCGCGATGGCAGGTTGAAGAGTTGATGATCTGGAGAGTCACAAAGGAGATAAAATGTTTTTTTGGTTTTCTTTATTGACTGGTTGATGGCCTATTGTCGCAGGCGGTTTAATAAAGACGTGTGCCTTCAGTGTTAGTAGATCGAAGAGGTAACGAATATGCGCAGTGCTCACACGAGATCTGGCGACGAAGGGTAGTGGTCCACACACCAAATGCAAGCGATTGTTTTTTTCTTTTGATATGAAGTCAATTTTTGAGTGAATGAGGTCTCCCAGCTAAGATATTTTGGACAAGTTCCATGAGATCGACCAACTGAGTGTCTCTCTTTCGTTAGCATTAGAATAAAAGTGTTACGGTTATTCTGGAGCTCAGAAAATGTGATCACTTCACCAAGCTAGGCATTAAAGCCTGCTGACTTTAAATCGTCAAAATCCACAACTCAGAGTGCCCTCTCAACCTCGACAAACCCTTAGCAAATGTCAGGAGTCCATCTGCATTTCCTAGATTCTCGAGATTTCAAAATAATCAAATTCTCCAAAATAGCTGTCCAAAGCGAAGGCTACTTAACAACGTAGAGAAATCGTCAATCCACTCAGGCCCAGAACCGTGGATTCGTGGTCCTCCAGGTCTCACCACTAATTCCACTCCAACATGGTACTGCAACTCCACAACAACACTCCATCAGCTCACCTTCCCGCCTACACCAGGCCAAACCTTTCCTGTATTTACATATATGCTAATCGAAGAAGTCATCGTCGTCGTCATCGTCGAGATGCTTCCGGTCAAACACTATCTGGCTCGACAGCGCCTTCTTCTCGTCACGAGAAAGCAGATCCAAAATCTCCACTATATCCTGCTCGCCAAGCTTCCGGCGAATAGACCCCATCGAGATCATCTTCACAAGGTACTGCTCCACGGCGTCGGCCCTATCTGGACGTACGATTCTCACACGAGAAAGTCTTTCTCTGGCAGAAGGCTCGAGAACCTGGGAAAGCACCGAGATCTTCTCGTCCAGACCTGCAGACTGCTGGCCAGAGTTTTTCTGGAGCTCTGCGAGTCTGGCCTCTCTGATAGCGTTGAGTTCAGCTTCGTCCATGGAGAAGAGAGTAGTTGATGCTCGCACTGTGTAGGACGGTCAGACAAGCAGCACTGTGGAGACGCCACAACAAGACGTACGGATGAGAAAAGAAAAAGGCAAATTGGAAGGAAGAGAACGTGCAGAAAAATAAATAACTACCCAAATTGATCTTTCCCCCTCCGTCCACTTAATGTGGAGGTGGCATGGTCCACACCCGTGCACCATCAAGACACTTCAAGACGTGCCAGCGAGCAATACTTGTTAACACCATGAGCGACAGAGGCATTCTAAGAAAGTACAAGATCGTCTTTTTGGGCGACCAGAGCGGTATGTGACCATTCTGCATCTTCAGCTACCCCTTCATCCACTAACACGCAGTCGGCAAGACGTCATTGATCACAAGGTTCATGTATGACACCTTCGATGAGCAGTATGCGGCCACCATAGGCATAGATTTCCTCCTGAAGACAATGTATTTGGAGGACAACAAGACCGTGCGGTTGCAGTTGTGGGACACGGCGGGCCAGGAGCGGTTCCGCTCGTTGATTCCATCGTATATCCGTGATTCACACGTTGCCGTGGTGTGCTACGATATCACCAGCAAGAAATCGTTCAGTTCGTTGGAGAAGTGGGTCAGCGACGTGCGCATGGAGCGTGGCGACGACGTGATTGTGGTGATTGTGGGCAACAAGTCAGATTTGAGCTCCAAGCGCCAGGTTAGCGTGGAGGAGGCCGAGGAGTTCTGCAAGCAGATTGGCGGCAAGTTTCTCATTGAGACGTCGACGAAGGCCAACCACAACGTGAAGCTTCTATTCAAGAAAATCGCACTGTGCTTGCCGGAGTTCAGCGAGAGCGGCGACCAGCAGCAGCAGGCTGAGACAGTGGACGTTAGCATCGACACCTCTGCGCCGCAGGGATCGACGAGTTGTTGCTAGGGGGGACAGTGCAGCGGAGCTGCTATACTAGAAATGCATGATACGTGAACGAGGTGTAGGAGGGGCGGTATGCAGCAGGGGTGACAAGCGAGAGATAAGAGCGGAACGGGGCGTAGTGGTGGGAGGTTTGTTGGAGGATTGGACTTTTGACTTGTGACTTGTGACTTTTTGGTGCAGTTGGGGTGTCGAAATAGCACATGAAGGAGGCCATCGATTTTGACAACCGTTTGAAGATTTTCGATTAATGGTATTTTGGGTATTTGTCAGTCGGCTGGTTGCGAATTGCGTTGCACGTTTTGTGTCAAACTGCGATGACATCAGCGGTGCCGAAGCTTATCGGGGCGCAAAATAGATTTAGAGCGAGGTGAGGCAGTGAGGTGAAGAGGCAGTGAGGGACGAGGGAGGAAGGATGGAGTTTTCCGATGAGATGTGAATCTTTGATCCCATAGAATCCTGACGAGGTTTATTGCATTCCTAGAGGATTACCAAATTCTGGCAATTTGCAAACTGGCGGAATAAACGCAGCGCCTCGACGGCCATCGGGGGCTCAGGCGCAAATGGTGCGTTGACAGCGGGAGGGCAGCAGCAGGGAAGCGAGGCGGCGAACAAAAAGACAAGGCGGCGGTGGCGAGAACAAAGAGGAAGAAGGAGCCCCGGCGCCGCCAGGGGCAGCGGAATGGAGACAATAGGCAGAAAAAGGCAGAAAAAGGCAGGGACAATCAGAAGAGGCAGGGAAGCTGGAAGTGGACAGTTGAAGGGAAATGGAAGCCCGGCGGGAATGCACCGTGGGAAGCGTTTGCATTTGTCTCATTCTGCCCCAGCGCCAAGGCAAATCGCGCGGAGCCAGGGACCCTGAGGCACAAAGACAAAGCGCAAGGGGAGATTTCACAAAGTCAGGGGCGCGGGCGCCACGGAGCCTGGGGGTGGCAGGCAGGTGGGCAAATGGAGGCAGAAGCTTCGGCTATTCAAGGCCCCAGCGTTCTGGTGACTTGGTGTTCTGTTGTTTTGTTGTTTTGTTTTGTTGTTTTGTTGTTTTGTTGTTTTGTTTCGTTGTTTGTTGTTCTGCTTTCGTCACTCTGTGCTGTGGACTCACTTGTCTCCCTGGACTGCCCTGGGCCACCCAGGAGGCCTCGCTAAAAAGCTTCGTGGCGTCTGACGCAACGGCGCAGAGTCGCACGACGCCTATCTGCCAGCCAGCACCTCCAGCCAAGCACCGGACTTGTCAACAAACAAAGCCGCCAAGCAGCGGGCCTGGGGCGGTTGCAGGACGCCAGAGGAATGGGATGGCCTTACAATGCAAGCTTGCGGAGGCCATTTGCAAAGAAAATTTTCCACCTTGCCTATGGGGCGACGCTTCCCACCGCGGCAGCCAAATTAACTTTTCGCTTTTTTCGCCTGCCGCCTCGCCTGTCCACCTGCTCGCCTGTGCCCTCCTGCTCGCCTGTACCCACCAGCTCTGCCCTGCTCGCTTTGCTCGTATCCCGGCACCATGACACAGTCGCAGCCCCAACGCCCCAAGCCCCTCCAGGCCAGCGCCAGCGCCTCCAGGCCGCTGAACATCACCCCACCGAGTCCACAGATCCTACCATCTACTCCGTCTTCACTCTCCGTTTTCTTCACTCACCAATACGGCCGTCCTTTCTCAAGCTCCCCCTGACCCAACACGTTCCCCTGAACCCCAACTTCAACCTCCCTTTGCGTTCACCCTCCCTCCACCTCTTCTTCACTTCTTCAACTCCACTACTTCTTCCCTCCACCACTGCCGGGGCCTCGGCCCCAGGGGCGCGCCCGTTAGTCTCAGGAACAGGGCGATCAGGCACGCCAGAGAGGTCGTGGGCAAGCCGCCCCTGGACATTTCCTGTGCCCCACCGGCTTCTGTGCGTACCCTGTGCTCCGCGCTGTCGGACTGCGTTGGGCTGCTTTTTTCCTCCATCTACTCGTTTTTTTTTTCTTACTCACCGTCCCCTCGTCCGTGGTGGCTGCCATTGTGCTGCGTTTTTTTTTTTTTTTTTTAATCGTTATTTTCCTTATATCCCCCCTCGCTCCCGCCAGCTTCTCTCTTTCCTACCACGCGAGGAAACTCCCCAGATCCTCCGATCCCACTGGCCCAGCCTGCCAGATATTAGTGATCCTTCCCCAAACTCCTCCAGCTCCATGACAGACAAGAAACCAAAACGCCCCAGCAAGGGCAGGGTCTTCCAGTGCACGGGCTTCCCAAACTGCAACAAGTCCTTCACCCGCCTGGAACACCTCGCCAGGCACCGCCGAAAACACACGGGTGAACGGCCCTTCACCTGCCCCCACTGCTCCAAAAACTTCTCCCGCTTGGACAACCTCAGGCAGCATAAGCAGACCGTCCACGCCTACGAAAACTACATCAAGAAGCGCTCCGAGGGCAAGGACGCGCCGCCTTCCCAGCAACAAAACCCTCCCATCCAGCCCCACTCCCAAAACCACTCCCACCTGTCCGTGGCCCAGGGCCTCTACTCCACGCCCCACTTGGCCCACCCGCTGCGTCCCCTCGTGCTGCCTCCCTCCCTGGGGCTGCCCTACGGCGTCTACTACCCATATCCTGGCCATGGCCTGGTGGCCCATCATCAACAACAACAACAACAGCACCAACAACATCCCCACGCACATCCGCCCCCGCCCCACCATGCTCCCATGGGCCTCCGTGACCCGCCCAAATTCAACCCCAAGACGCGGCCAAGGCCCCTTTCCTTGGTCCATGCCTTTTCCGACGACACCATGCTCACGTCCGAGCACGAACGGCTGCGTGGCCTTCCCCCTGCTGAACCACCGCTCCGGACGGCTCCTCCAGCTGCTACATTTGCCCAGGCCGGCAGTCTAAACGTGCCTCCGCCTGGCTGGGGCCTCCCTGCCCCGGGCTCCTCCAGATTCGCCTACCTTACGCCTATGATGGTCAGTCCGCTCTCGCCCTTGTTCCACCAGCTGTTTAACCAGGTGGCGGGGAAGAATAAGCTGACGGGCACCGCCTCGTCGCTGTCGCTGGACGCACAGCTGGAAACACAGCTGCTTCTGCCTCCGGCTCTACCGCCCGTTCGCCTCAAGGGGCTGTGGTTGAAGGACGTGTTGAACAAGGACGAGAAGCCCTCGCGGGTCGCCATCAACAGCTTGATAGAGGAGGAGAAGTGAATGCCCTAGAGATTGAGCTACTTAGAGATTTTGGCCCATTGGAGCCAGCCTAGAGATTCAGTGGTTATGTGGCCTTTGAGCCAGCTTCGGAGGCGCAGTACTAGAAGCCCAGTCTATGCCCATGCCAAACTAGACAAATCGGAGGTTATTCGGCGACCGACCGTCCGATCGACCAGCACCGCCATCAGGGCCTGAAACTGCGTTACATGTTTCCCCCCTCCTCGCTGAATTGAAGCTTCCCCTTCCCCACCCATTGCCCTTCCTTCCATGTTTCCTTCCTTTCCATGCTGAAGCTCAGCGCTGGATCAGATCCCACACGGGCAGATCCACGGTGCTCGCGTTAATCTGCTGCCAGATCGATTCACTCGTCGTTTAGCTCACCCTGCTGTGTCTGAGCAAAATGGCACCTCAAACGGCTCCGCTGCGCCTGTCCGCACAGTGCCTCATTTCAGCTGCGGCAGCGAAATTGGCTCTAGCGTTCCCCAGCCAGGCCCGATTTAAACAGCCGCAGCATTACACGCCAGGCCCCTAAAAAAATAGCTTCTATTATCCGCCAACCCCTCCGAGGCTGTGATCAGCAACAAACGGTTGAGCAAATTTTAAACCTTATTCACCTTGTGTTGTGTGCCCCTGGCGTTTCGGCAATGCTGATCCGCGAAATGTGTCCGCGCGATGCTGCCTAGTACATAATAATTAGACAGCGCTGCTCTAGGCCCCGGTGACGGACGTACATCACAGTGCGTCGCAGCGTCCGGGCACAGAGTCACAAAAGCATATTTGGGATCTTAACCATTTGCCGTGCCATAGGCATGTGGGCCTCAGTTTTGTGTTTTCATTGGAAGCCTATCTAGGTGTCTGCACCGCGGAGCCCTGAAGCCTCTACTATTTTGCGGGGCGTTAGCCGAGCAGCCTGCCAAGTTGGGCCGCACTCGTACCTGCTGCCAAGGGCAGGCTTCTTTTTTTCGCTCAAAAAGTAAGTCTTCGCGACTGAGGTGAAGCTGACTGGCTGAAGCAGCCTCTGCGTCTGTTTCTATAACGTCTTGCCCAAGACCCTTGAACAATGGCTCGGCCAGGACACTTCTATGACTAAACAAAGAAAAGGACGCCGGAAATCAGCCCATTCTGTGAATCGTTTCGAACATGCCCTTGACAAAAATCGTCAGGCCCTCGGAAGCTCGTCGCCGCGTTGGTGCCTTGCCATTTCACCGCACCCGCTCACCGTTTATTTACATTACTACCAGACGCATCATTCTTCCATACGCTGGGGCGCACCATTACGCCACACGCACCGCTTTATTCCCCCTATACGCTGAAGCATGCCTGGACTGACCGTGTCGCCGGTCCTCACGATCTTTATACACATGTACTATAATACCACGCCGTCCACAGGCCGCCTTAGCTGCCGCCTGCGAGCGACCGTTGCCAACTTCTCCACAATCATCAACTGCTGCTCTAGCCTCTGGACCTCTTTCCGGTCCACCACCTCCTCCAATGCCTGAACCATCGCCTGAACGATTCCGTATATCTTTTCGAGATTTGCCACGTACTGACCATACAACTTCCAAACCTCCGCATCCAACGCAAGCTTCTCTTCAAGCTTTTTATCCCGCAAATCAGCGATTTTTTCAATATTGTACTCGCAAATCATCTTCGTGAGCTGTGGGAGAACAACAATATGAATGAGTCGCTCGTAGTCGGTGTAAACTTTGTAGAGCTGCTTGTTCTGCTCGATCTTGATCTTCTGTAGGTCTGCAAGTGCCTTGTTGTCAATGAGAAGCTGCCGAAGTCGAGGATTTTCCACCTCAGAAAACGTCTCGAGCTCAACTTGTGGCAGATACTTCAGGTCTATTAGGGCACGCAAGGGATCGTTTTCCTGTGGAACTGCATTTTCTTGTTTCAGCTCAAACGGTAGCGTGAGCTTCGTGTCGATGGATCTCGAGATGTTAGCGATGATTGCCTCATTCTGCAGGATTTTCTCTGTCAATTCCACAACAAGCCGATTGATAGGCTCGTGATTTTCCATATTTAGTAGATACTTGTACGCTGACATGGTGTTGAGGTGTTGGTATGGAAGGATATTGATCTACTGGTGGTAGTAGGGCGCACTTTGGTGATGCTCGCCTGGGGTACAGATCTTGCCTATCGTTAGTGTATTTGTTACTTCAGTCTTCTCGTCACTCATACGGTATCATCAGCTCTCATTACTTTATCTGCTCTGTTGGCGCAGCAATTGTGCTTGCTTCCGCTCCTGCTTACCCTTTTTCATCGTCTGCTTCAATGCAACCAGGTCCAATGGGTCGAGAAGCTCAAACGAACAAAGCAACTCGTCCGATACGCTCATCACAGCGCCCCAATTGTCAAACTCTCCGCAGTAGTTTGGCGCACTGAACACTGTCACCAACGTACGGTCGTTGAAAAACTCGTATCCGTCCTCCACCACCATGTGTGCCCGGCACACCAAGTCAAACCCAAACTTCTGCAAGAATTTGTTGATGGCGGCTTTGGAGAAAACGTACGACACGCCTCGTTCGTTGTCTTCCCATTCGTTCATCGTATCGGCTGGATCAGACCAGAGCAAGTCATTGAGAAGCCCAAAGTCGGGCACATCAGTCGGCCTGGCAATGTTTCTGATTTCTTCCATCGAGTTGAGAACGGGCGAGAGACCGCCATGCACACAGAAAATCTTGCCAGCGACAATAGCAGCAATGGGCAAGGTGTTGAAAGTATCAATGAAAAGCTTCCATGTCTTGATGTTGCACCGACGTTTGCACTCGTCGTAGAAACCATAAACACGGGTCACATTGGCGCACTCATGGTTTCCTCTGAGGAGGAAGAAGTTCTCTGGGTATTTGATCTTGTAGCAGAGAAGGAGAAGGATCGTCTCCAAGGACTGTTTACCTCTGTCCACGTAGTCACCCAAGAATAGATAGTTTGTCAGTGGCGGGAAACCACACTTGGTGAAAACACGAATCAAGTCGAGGTATTGGCCATGCACGTCGCCCACAACTTTGACCGGCGGGCTGAGCTCAAGTAAAGACGGTTGCAGTAAGAAAATCTCTCTTGCCTTGGAGCAGATAAGCTGAATCTCGTTATTCTTGAGACAAAGGTTTTTTGTACGCTTGCCTGAGTAGCCAGCGTCAAGAAGTCGCTGGATGAAGTCCTCGATCTCAAGTGGGTTCAGGCATTGAGGAGACTCCAAGAGTTCCTCTGGATCTCTCGACGAGCCTCTTCTTGAAGGGGCGGTTCTGGCCAGAACAGACGATCTGGCGGATCTCTTGGAGCTGACCGAGATTGTGTCGGACTTGTCGCCTGGTGTTTCGGAATTGTTGCTGGGCCCTCCGGTGGCCTGAGGAGTGAGGCTGGCATTGGGGGTCTGGAATGTGGAGTTTGTGGGCAGCTTTGAAAGCAGCGGGTCGTCGGCGTTGCTGTTCAGGCGTGGGAGCGAGAGATTGCCGGAGAATTCGGTGTCGTTTGTATTTCTCCGGATCAAAATGGGCAGTTTGGGCTCCGGGGTCTGCATCAGCGGATGAAGGAGAGCATCATCGTCGTCCTCGTCATCGTCAGCTATAGCATACTCCTCGGCATCGCCATTAGCTATGCCGTCAGGCCTCGGTAGCGAGGCAGTGGAGCCTTTTCGGCTGCTCATCCGGGGCAGGTCGTCTTTGCTACCAGAGAGACGGGACCGGATCGACCGGTTGGACCGCTGCAGCACGCCGGTGTCGGACCGGGAAAGAGGAAGGCCATTTTTTGATTTCGATGGCGAATTGCCCATGCCGTTTGGGCTGTCTAGGTGTGTTCTTTTGGACCTGTGGTTGGCCTTAGTGCTATGCCACGGTTTCCTTTTCAGTACCTGGGCGGTTCCTGGACGGTAATGTGAATTGACAAGCCTTTGCTGGAAGACGCTACTTTTGATTCGTGAAGCTCAACTGGTACTTCTTTTAGAACGTGTAGCTGTGGCTGTTGCTGTCCTATCTGAGACGCCTAAGAATGTTTGGATAGCGGAGCGAAAGGAACAGGTAAAGGTGACGGCGGCTCTGTGAAGGAAAATTTGTGGGCTGTCGTCTTGCTGCCGTTTTGGGGATCAGGTGCAAAGGAGCTAAGGGTGGTTTGTGAGCTGGAGATGGGAGGTGAGTAGCGAGTCTAGATTGGGCGGGCCGCGCACGACCAGCAAGTCCCTGGCACCCCAGGTCAATTGTGCTGAGGGGCCGAATTCAGAGAAAATTAGATCTTTTTACTTTAAAAGGGTGTCAATTGGGAGGAAATGTGGTGCTTTGGGGAACTTTTTCAGTTTTAACTGGAAGCGAGCTTTGGACGGGGGTGTTGTATGAAAGAGCCATTTGCGTCGCTCCATGGCCAATTGACGTTGGTGAGAAACTAAGGGTTTCGTGCCTCGTGAGAGTTGATTCTACTGGGTGAAAAGGAATGGTCCAGGTTGCGTGCCGTTTGGGGCTGAGGGGGCTATGGAAGAAACAGTTGCGAAAAACCGCAGAGTGGTACGACATCCAGGGTGACCACGATAAGGGAAGGAAAGGAAAAACAACGTTCACTTTGCAATTGCTGTCTTATTTTGTTGCTGGGCATTGTTATTCATCCTGGTCTCATGTTAGGAAGGTAATCTGAGTGCATACATTCGGCGGAGGTCCCTGGGCGGAGAGGGCAGCATTGCTGCTGCGAAGCATTGGAGTCTCTACAGATATGGGCGATTCAGAGGAGTTGGTTTTGGCCATACGGCTATTTTAAGTTTTGGAGTGAGTTACGAGATCTGGAGTTTTTGTGTGTTTTTCTGTTTTTAGGCCGTGGGTGTTTTTCAACAGACGTTGTGGGTGCAATAGGTATGGTGAACTTTCAACGGCTCGTTTAGATCCATCTCCGAGGGGGCCGACCATAGCCGAAAGGCAGAGGCATGAATCGGCGCAACCGAGTTAATTACTATAGCATCGGCGACGTCGCTCAAAAAATTGCATGAGGCGCTTACAATTAAAAACCTTATTTTAGTTCTTCCATTATTCGCCCCATTCAAGCCGGGTTCCTGGTATAGAGAAGGCTCCTGGAGATGCGCATCGCGCTTTGATATAACCTACTACCCCAGCATACTCCATGCTTCAACGCACACTTCTACCGTGCCAGAGGAGACTTTTCCACAGCGTGCGTCCCCTCTTCAATAAAAACCCGCTCATCCACGAAAACGGACTCTACTACGGCAAATTCACCAAGGAGGAGTACGACAAGGCCAAGCAGTTCGTCACCACCCAGTACGAAAAGCTCGAGAAAGACATAAAGGGCACAGAGCATGTGCGTGACAAAGTGGGAAAAATGCCCCAATTCCCTTCTCGTGGACCCGCCAGGGGCGTGGCCAACTTGCTGGATTTCTTCCAGGAGATGATCAAAACGACAGGACCCATTCCCCTTTCAGCTTACATGAGACAGTGTCTTACCCACCCAGACTTTGGCTACTACACGACAAGAAACCCCTTGGACGCTCTAGGAGGCGATTTCATCACGTCGCCGGAGATTCTGTCGGTTTTCGGCGAGATGATTGGAATCTGGCTATACTCAGTGTGGACCAGCCAAGGTTCGCCTAAGAAGATCAGAATCGTCGAGTTCGGCCCGGGAAAGGGCACCCTCATGCACGACGTGGTCATTGTGTTCAACAAGTTCGTGGCCAAATCGGCGGCGTCGGTGGACATTGAGGTTGTCATGGTCGAAGCTTCCCACGTTCTCCGTAAAGAGCAGCACAAGCTTTTGTGCAATGATAACACCTACGAGACGACATCCGAAGGCTTCAATAAGTCCACTTCAAAATGGAACAATAAAGTGACGTGGGTCGACACCGAAAAGGATATTGTTCAGGCCTCAGACACTGCCAACTACGTCTTGGCTCATGAGTTTTTCGATGCTTTGCCAATAAAGTCGTTTACAAAAACGGAGCACGGCTGGAGAGAACACGTGGTGGAACACACCCTGGCGGTGGTAAACACTCAACCCAAATTGGAGGGTACCAGTCCCGTGCAAAGCGAGGAAAACGAAGAGCTCAACACAGACTTTCATCTCACTGTATCGCCAAAAGAAACCCCTTCCTCGGCCATTCCCACCTTGAGCCTGCGCTACAGAGACTTGCCTGAAGGTCTGCGTGTGGAGATTTGTCCCGACGCTGAGCTCTATTTATCGCACATCTGCAACTTGGTCAACGGCTACAGCAACGGTCTGGCTGGAGCAGCATTGATCATCGACTACGGCCCGGCTGACGAGGTACCGTCCAATTCCTTGAGGGGTATCTACCAGCACAAGTTTGTGTCTCCGTTCTATAAGCCTGGCGATGTTGATCTTTCCATCGACGTCGACTTTGCCAATCTCAAGGCCTTGGCTGAACCGCATCTTTCTGTATATGGGCCAGTTGAGCAAGGTGACTGGCTCCACGAAATCGGCGTGGGCTACCGTTTTGACCAGCTTATCAAAGCTGCCAACCTGATGGCCAACAAAGAGCTGATCTACGATTCTTACATCCGGTTGACGTCTAAGGACGAAAAAGGCATGGGCAAAATCTACAAGTTTTTGGGTCTTTTGCCCCACAAGTCCACGAAGCCCATTGGATTTGGTATATAGGCGACTCCGAGCATGGACTGGCTGCGAAATCGGACTCGGACTTGACGCGCCCGCCACGTCAAGGCATCAAACGGTTTTTCCAGGAACAGACCGTTGTTGAACAGCTCCAAAGATTTGGTCGGTTTTTCTCTCTGCACTGGTTTTTGAGCCACGAGTTGAGATCCCAACACGCCATCCACGGCACACACCATAATCACTCGAGGCTCTTTGAAGCAATGTAAACCAAAAAGCAAAATATAAACTCACAAAATACAAGCTTTTCTCTCCAAAGTGTCCGATACGGCCTCGGCATGGGAGTCAGTGGACCGTTGTGTATCGTGCAGTACAAGTGACTCTGAGCAAGCCGATAATGGAAACTTTCCATACGCTCCTCTCTTCTTTACCACACCATGCTTTCCAGAGCTCTTCGTTTACCACGTGTTACTGTTTTCCAGCAGCTGCGCTTTGCCTCGAACCTATTCAACGACCACACGCCAGCGCCTCCCAGATTGCCCAAAGAGCAGCAGGAGGAGTTTGAGCTGCTTCAGAAGATGGCCAACTCCCAAGCTGCCATCGACGAATACAACAGGCAGATCGAGGAGAGCGGAAGCGCCAGCAGTGACATTTCTGGCTCTCAGACAGACGTGGGCGTGCAGACCCAGTACTTCAAGACGGTTCCTGAATTCGAGGGCGACAGAAACCCAGAAACAGGCGAAATTGGCGGGCCCAAGCAGGACCCTTTGAGACATAATGACTGGTCGTTCAACGGCCGTGTCACTGATTTTTAAGCTGCCGAAATAGGTGCTTTGGATTGAAGAAGCGGCATCTTTGGTGCGGCTGAATTTAGGTTTAATGGAACATAGACATGGAAGTGTTGTAGAGCCCAGCCGGGTTGCGTAGATGTAAAGTGATTGAAGATAATCGAAGTTTGTGATTTTTTTGAAAGGGCTTCAATTATAAGCAGAGTAGTGGTAGGTTGGCTATGTTTCGCGATTCATAGTGGGAGTAGGCATCTGGGCGCAAAATGTCATAAAAAGCAAAAGGTCGTAATTATCGATTTTTGAATTTTTTACTAACATATACTGAATGGTCAATGGAGGGGATTCTGTTCATATTCGTCGCCCCCCTGAATAAGGCCAATTCGATAGAGCTGATCCCGTCGTCAGTGAAGCAATGAAACACAAATATCTCATGCTGCGCCGGGGCTAATTCTTGACTACGGGTCCACCCAAATCCACCTTCAAAATACCCGATAAAGCGACCACGGATTACAAATCATAATGGTAATTTCACCAGCACATGTAGATCTATCTCACAGTAGCATTGTGGCGCGCCGGAGACGGATCATTGAAGACAAACTCTGCATCACCAAAACCGTGAAAAGTTGAGTTGCCACCGTCATTCGCGTACACCCCAATGATACACAAAATGGAAATAATTCTAGAGTTGTCCTTCAGAGGAACGAAAAGTTGGATATCAACACGATTTGAGTTATACCCAGTTACTCATTTCCTCCTTTTACGGGCTTTCTCCGTTCCGCCGTACTTTACGGCCATCGGACAGGATTTCTGACAAACATACGCATACACGGCCGTCGGATATCGCCCTAATCGGTTTCGAGCCGAAAATAAGTACCCTGCACACAGTTTAGCGATGGCAGCCACATGCCAGAATAGTACTCAACGTCTTTTTTTTTTTTTTTTCGCTTTAAATCACCGGCTCTGCAGCGAGGCTCGAGGTCCTGATGACGTGCGCAATCAAGCAAGCAAGTTGACAGCTTGACACATCCAGAAATTGTTCGGTTTGGGAAATAACTACTCATATCTGAGAAATGTGGCTTCAATTTGGCTTCAATTCCCAACCTGTCAAATCGCAGCCTCACCTATAGCGTAAGCAGGTTCTGCACGGCATGAGGGCTAGCACGGAGAAGATCCCGATTGGGAATTATTCCGGCATCATTATGAACGCCGTGCACCTTTGCTGCGATGATTGATAATCAACAGCATCCCTTCTCCGACGATTCTTCTTCTATAAATTGGTTTCTCTTTCCTGTTCTCGGTCCAACAACTAATGTTTTTTTACAAGTTTGTCCGTGAGAGTTTTTTCGGCAGATCCTTCTACCACCTCTCGGGCAGAAAGGTCTTTAACTACCCAGAGGAGCACCCTGACTATGTTATCCCTTCGAGATACCTAGGGAAGGGTGATTCCACGATAGAGAGTTATGTGGGTGAGATCAATGAGGAGAGTAACGAAGAACTGCCCTCAGACTCGTCGTCACAGACGACCAAAGCTGATCATATCATTGTGGACTGGGAAGGCGAAGATGATCCAGAAAATCCATATAACTGGCCCTTGAAATACAAGATCATTTTTATTGCCCAGATTATGATCCTTACTGCATTCGTTTACATGGCTTCTGCCATCTACACCCCAGGTGTGGAGGAGATTATGGAGGATTTGGGTGTGGGACAAGTTGTGGCAACTCTCCCATTGACCCTTTTCGTGATTGGATATGCCATTGGACCCATGGTGTTCTCTCCACTTTCTGAGAACGCCATCTTTGGCAGAGCCTCCATCTACATTGTCACATTATTTATTTTCTTCATTCTTCAGATCCCCACCGCCCTTGTCAAGAACATTGCTGGCTTGTGCATCTTGCGTTTTATTGCAGGCTTCTTTGCCAGTCCTTGTTTGTCCACTGGCGGTGCCTCTGTTGGTGATGTTATAACTTTGCCTTTTATCCCTGTCGGTATCTCTTGTTGGTCCATTGCTGCTGTATGTGCACCATCCGCCGGTCCATTGTTTGGTGCCATCTTGACCGTGAAGGCCAACTACCACTGGACGTTTTGGTTCGTGTGCATCACTTCCGGTGCTTCTTTTATCACTCTTGGCTGGTTGCTCCCAGAATCTTACTCCAAAACTATTTTGTACAGAAAGGCAGAGAGACTCAGAGCTCTTACCGGTAATGACAGAATCGTGAGTGAGGGACATCTCGAGAACGCCAAGTTTAGCACTAATGAAATGCTCGTCGAGACCCTCTGGCGTCCTATCGAAGTCATGATCTTCGAACCCGTCGTGTTGCTCATCAACATCTACATTGGTTTGATTTACTCCGTCATGTACTTATGGTTCGAGGCCTTCCCCATCGTGTTTGTGGAGGTGAAAGGCTTCACTCTTATTGAAATGGGAGTTGCCTATTTGTGTATTTTGGTTGGTATCTTGGTCGCAGCTGCTATCTACATTCCTACCATCTACTTCAGAGTAACCAAGAAGATGCTCAATAACGAGCAGGTTGCTCCTGAGGTGTTTATTCCAGTCGCTATTGTGGGAAGTGTGCTCATGCCTATTGGTATTTTTATTTTCGGCTGGACTGCCGCTGAGGACCTTCACTGGATTGGTCCACTTATTGGTGCTGCCCTTTTCGCTGCTGGCGCTTTTATTTGTTTCCAGACCTTGTTCAACTATCTCAGTATGTCTTTCTGGAGATTCTTGGCTTCCGTCTTTGCTGGTAACGCTTTGTTCAGAAGTATGATGGCTGGTGCTTTCCCATTGTTCGGTAGAGCACTTTTCCTCAATTTGGCTACCAACAGATTCAAAGTTGGATGGGGTTCCTCTGTCTTGGGTTTCATTTGTGTGGGCATGATTGCTATTCCCGTCTTGTTCTACCTCAACGGTCCTAAGTTGAGAGCCAGATCCAAGTACGCTGGTGCTGGTTAAATCAAACCGTAAGTGTAACGAAGTGACGTCAACTTAATAGATTATTTAAATGGATAGAAAAGAGAGTTCACTAGTAGTTGATGGACATTTTTCGGACTAACATTTCAGTTTATATGGTCAATTTATCAGTTTGATTATTATGTGATTTAGCCGTGGGGACTATCCTTTGGATTCTGAGCGAACGACATAGATCTTAGGCTGAGACAATAAGGTTTTCGCAGCCAATATGTCGCGCGAGTGAGACATTCACATTGTAGGAGATTTGAGATAATTTTACAAGTTTTCTTGATATATAGTTGCCTTTGATCAAGCACGTTATGAAACAACATATTGCCATAGACCACATATTTTCAGTTGATAATGGTTTGGTGATGGTTCCACGGAGAGCCCTTTGATTATGCTACGATTCGTATATTCATTCGCACGAGCATAAGTCCGTTTTCAGCAAATGATCCAAAGTGAAGCTTCAAGGAAACAATTTGACCCTGTTTTCACTAAACATAATTGTGTCGAACTTTTTCACTACCAGAAAGACAATCTCTTGGTCCAGTTATGTTTTCCTCTATAAAACCTGCTTCACTCGCATCAAAGACAATCGAACTAGTTGTCTGCTTGACACTGAAACACCCGTACACCACCACAACGGCCTCATTTGGGATCTCTTCTCATGCTGTAAAGATCATGGACTTTGATCCGTTATCGCTATTCACGCCTGCAGTGTCATCCATCACGGTGGACGTAGCGGTGCTGGAGCAGTCTGTCGAGAACCTAGACACCGTCAAGATTGAAAACTTCGAAACTTCAAAGAACATCATCGCTCTGCTGCTTTCCAATGACGATAATGATCTAGTGCCGTTGCACATTCACGACTTGCCTTTGCTTCGTATGAAGCCCGCTTTTGTCGTTCTACACGTGTTTTTAAAGCTCCTAGCGCCCTTGACTGTGCACAATTTCGAGCCTCCCGCAGAAACCGATAAGGATACCAATGCGACATTTGATGAAAAACTGATAAGCCCTCAAGAAGCCAAAGGAGCCTTAGAATGGCTACATGATAAAGGAAGATTCTCGTCATCCGATCAGCTTGCATCGGTAGCGACTCTAGCCGATCTGCTACGAAAGACGTTTGCAGCGCAGTACAATGGATGGTTGACCAGGCTCATTTCGTCTGATTTGGACTGGCTCAGCGAGGAAGATCAGGATAGCATAAAGACGCTAGCTGCTCTACGGCTTGCTGAAAATTGCGGCAGAACCGCTCAGCCTGAATTCATCAGACACATTGATATACCCGGGCTTTCAAAAACAATATACTTGAAGGAGCCATCGCTTACTTCTGATAAGCTCGGGCTCAAGACTTGGGGATCCCTGTTTATTCTAGGCAGACGGTTGGCTCAGACTGTGGCATATTTAAAGGGCACAGTGTTGGAGCTTGGTTCAGGCACTGGCTTGGTAGGTATGGTTGCAGGAGTATTGGGCTTTCAAACAGTACTCACTGATTTGGCTGATATCGTTCCCAATCTTACAGACAATGTGGAGCTCAATAACATCGATGCAACCGTGGACAATTTAGATTGGAGTAACCCCAAAAGCTACTTGGATAAGCACAACCTGCCCCGTTACACGACCATCATTTTATCTGATCCGCTCTACTCATCGAAACACCCAGCGTGGATCGTCAGCATGATAAACACTTTCTTAGAGGAGTCAGAGGATGCTCGAGTCCTTCTCCAGGTACCCATAAGAAAGACGTTTGAAAACGAAAGGGCCACATTGTGGCACCTTCTAGATATCAATGGCTACACTGTTCAAGAAGAGGATACCGAAACTGGATACGACGATTTCGGCGAGACCACCTTCTTATTCAAGAGGCTTCATAGAAAAATGTGAATATCTAAACAGTCTATCATAAGTAGTCTTTCAACTTTCTCAAGCGGGTAACAGCCTCCTCTAGCAAAGAGTCATCCTTGCACACGGCAAAACGAACAGAGTTTTCCAAAGGATTGTTCACTCTGTGCTCTTGCACGAGGAACTCTGTTGGAGGAATGCCCACAACACCAATCTCCTTGATGAGCCAATATACCAACTTGTAGTCTTTTGTGCCACGACCCAGAATGTCCTCGGGATATTCGTAGTCATCTGGAATTTTGAGCTTGGCAAAGTTAACCAAAAGGAAGTAGCCACCGTCAGCAGCAGTATACGGCAAGCCGAGCTCCTCAAACACCTTCACAAATATCTTGTACTTTTCAGCATACTCCTTACGAGTATTCTCAAAGTAATTGTTCTTGTTGGCGGCGGTAAATGCCTCAGAAACAGCCTGCTGCAATGGAGCAGGCACCGAAAAGCAGATACGGGTATGCGCTGAAGTGACGTATTTGATCAATTCAGAAGGCCCGTGGACCCAGCCCACACGCCATCCTGTAGCAGCAAAAGACTTACCTGCTGAGCCCACAGTCAATGTTCTTTCAGCCAATTCAGGCAAAGTCGAAAGGGTAGCTGGGCGAGGAAACTTTGGCAAATAGTACAAGTTCTCATAAACCTCGTCGGAGAGGAGAATTAAGTTGTGCTTGATGGCCAATTGGCCGATTCTGTGGAGCTCCTTCTCGGTGAACACCTTACCAATAGGGTTGTGAGGAGTATTGATGACGATGATTTTGGTCTTTGGGGTGATGGCAGCTTCAAGCGCCTCCCAGTCAACCTCCCACTCGTCACCAGTTGTGTTTCTCTCGGCGAATTTCTCGGGGCTCTTCAAAGAAACGTACTTGACCTTAGCACCGGTCATTTCAATGTTTGGAATATACTGATCAAAGAAGGGCTCGAACACGACAACTTCATCACCACGAGTCAAGAAGCCAAAGAAGACAGCAAACATGCCCTCGTTAGCACCCGTGGTGACCAAAACCTCGCTAGGATCCACCGTTCTGCCCAACTCCTTGGTGTAAAGTTCGCTCAACAGTTTCACCAAATTGGGGTTTCCCTTTGCTGGAGCATACTGGTTGAACTGTGGCTTCGTCAAAGCATGATGGACAGACTCAATGGCAAAATCAGGAGGGTTGTAGGAGAAGAAACCTTGACCCAAGTTGACGACGGATTTCCCCAGCTGTTCCTGAGCAGCTGCAGCAGTTTCATTGATCAAAGACCACACATCTTTACGATTTGGGTTCTGCTCAAAGTAAGGATTATGTAAAGCAGCAGGGCCAGCAGCAGTTGTCATTTTTCGGGTTTTGTTGAAAAAAGAAGGAAGTCGGAGCATTTGACTGTGGCTCTTGCGATAATATTTATACACTCCACACGGAGCGGCTCTACCATCGGCCCAACAAGCGGTCTTAGCCGCATTAGTTTGGGTCAGAATGTTTTGAATAGTGGAGAATGAAGGAAGTTTTCGGAAAACAAAGAAAATTCAGAGTTGTTCGGGATCTCGTATGAAACGGGCTTTGCTCGATATTAAGTATTGGTTATCTTTGACTGATAATGTCGTTACTTCTGTGGTGAATGCGAAATCGGATTGCACCACAATTGAAAAGATCACGAAGGAAACCATTCTTCCCGGATTCTGGCAAGAAGTCCGTATGTAGTCGATGCCTTGCTGAAAGTTGAAAAAAGGCTGGTCTGAGGGTCTGAAGTTTTCCCGTTGTTGCGTGACCGGATCACTGGTTGAAATGTCCGTATCACCTCTCATCCAAATTATCGAGGATTGAGCTGATGTGCTACCTTTGAAGGGTTCCCGTCTGGTGAGAATACCAACCTTTTGCCTGGGAATTGAAATTGACAAGCTGCTTCTGACTAGGTCAGCCGTGGCTCTCAGATGAAAAATCAACAATGCATGGATTCCTCAAACTTCGATGAACACATGATTCAGGGCCACTTTTCTTTCTTTTAAGCAATTAAAAAGGATAAAATAGGGTTGATAAGGCGGTGTATAGTATGCGACTCAATCTACTGATCTGCGAGAATGGCTGCAAATTGACGATCTAACCCCCATCTACCACGAGTCTATGGATGTGAGGGAAAAGAGGCTACAGTGTACATCTTCTTGCCAAACAATCTTTCACTACTGTTAATTCTTACACTTGAAATTCCTTTATCAAGGTATTGACTCACCGTTACCTATCTGACGCATCCAACTGCACGTGCGATGATGGTATGGAGCATAGCACGACGGATCTTACAAAATGCTCTAATCTTACCTTGAGGCACGATTTTGTGCCATTTCAAAGGTTAAACATTGTCAAAGCGGGGTTTAAATAGCTCTTGTAGTTCCATAGTTACGGGAACAAAGATTATGAGATTTAAACATAAAACAAACGCCACAACTTGCCTGGTGTTCAGCAAGAGTGTAAAAGAGTTAAATAAAGAGTTTCAAACCTTTGCATTCAGTTTATTCTTTATTAAATTTACTAGAAAATCAAATGTGAAAAAAATTGGCAGATTGGATCAGAAGCATACCTATATGCAGGCACATTGAAAAATAGGATATAGCTGCACTTACAAAACCAGCAGTTTTTAACGATCAAGGACCGCCTGCGTGGCGTAATGGTTAGCGCATTTGACTTCTAATCAAAAGATTCCGGGTTCGAGTCCCGGCGTGGGTTCTTCTTTTTTGAATCCAGTTACAAATTAGTGTTCATTATTTGCTGAGCTGGTAATATTTTTTTGATAAAGCGTCTTCTTCTACATTGTTAGCCACTCGATAACTAGCATGCTAAGCTCAAAGAGTGTGGATGTACGGGTGTGCATTTACCCTACTCATGAAAATTCTACTATACAAACCCATCGTCAGAAATACAGATACTGGAATGTCCTTGATTAGACCGTTGATCGGCAAAACCCCGCTTCTTCAACGTAACGCGGTTCAACTTTTGACGCCGAAGGCGCTTGTTGCCTCCAGATGCCTCTCCTTGAAGCCAAACTTTTCCAAATTTAAGCTCAATAAGGGCCCCCCAGGCAATATTGTCGGAACGGTCAACGATGCTTACAAGTTCCCTGAGCCAGATCACTACCACGGTAGCAACCACTGGACATATGACAGAATACTTGCAATGGGTCTTGTGCCCTTGACTGCATTTCCATTCGTGATGGGCGTGGAGTTCCCTATGGTGGATTCGATATTTTGCTTGACGGTTCTCCTTCACTCATACGCCGGTTTCAAGTCTTGCATTATTGACTATATCCCAGAAAGGGTGTATGGATTCTGGCACCGTGCAGCAATGAAGTTGCTTACATTAGGAACGGCAGTTTCATTGTACGGCATTTACATCCTCGAGACCACCGAGAACGGTCTTTTCGACTTCGTGTCGAAGATTTATGGCTCCTAGCCTTGCATGCATGTAGATAGTGTTTAGATCCAATAGTATAGATCCAGGATCACAGATCCAGATCCAGACTTGTGGAGGCTGGCTGTGTAGGTGATGACGAATCTGATCTTTCCGGAGATCGTGAATTTGGTTTCAGCGATTCTCGAAGGGGACTAAGAAGCTGATTGTCTGTCTTTTGTCTCTTCGAAGGCAGGGGTTCCTCCTTCTCTTTTTGATGCGCCCATGGAAGCGAAATGTAGGTCACATCTCTCGGAAGATCGTATTCCTCGTATTGTGAAGGCGTGGCCTTGTTGGGAACCGCGTCCTCCTCTATTTTCCCATTCGGTTCTTTCTGATGCACACCATTCTCGTTCTCCAAGTGATGTGTTTCTTTCGACAGAACCATAATTGTTCTTGAAAATGCTGCCAAGTACCGCTCAGCCAGCTGCACTGTAGCGAGCGAATAGCCGGATTTCTCGGGCTCTAGCACCAATTCAGCTAGTCTGTATATCGTGAACGGCGCCCCATCCTTGAACTGACCCTCGAGATGCTTTCTGATCTTGTCACACCATCCAGAAATTGTGTCGACATCCTTGGCTGTAGGGCCGCTGGCATTGGTAGTCTGGGCCTGATGCACCGCTGCTTTCACTTGATCGATTCTATCTAGAAGCAGCGGGAGGACCGATTGGACCCAAGTAGCATCATCATTCAAGACACCTTTTTGAAGAGGGGTTTCTAGGGCCTCATATAGACGGGTTTCGACTGGTGGCACGACTAGACGAACCATAGCTGATCGCTAACGGTTATTGTGGAGTTCAAGCGGTGTTGATAATGCGGGGAGGTACGGGTGTGTTACCGGTACTAGTGTGAGCTTTATGGAATAGATAAGAGAGCTCAGGCCATTTTGACATATACATCGATACCAAACGACGAGTTATTTGACAGAATCAAATTGTTGGGCGAGATGGCGCTTCCGTTGAAGCGGAGATTTCATTTGGTACAAAGCACTCTGAAGGTTATTTCGATAAGAGCAGGATGCCATAAAGATACCTCACCCAAGACGTGAATTCAAAATACCTGAAATAAATCTTGTGCAAGCAAACGATGATTGCCTAGATCTTGAAATTGTTTTATCCACAATTTGTTAGTTCATTACAGTTGCACTGAATTCGCAGCCAACTGATGAACTAGCTCTTGCGGACCACACATCCTCAAACACACCCTAGGATCTTTGCCGTAACACCATAAATGCAAAAACCTCGAACTCTCCAGATTTTCCAATCTAGAAACCTAAGGAGGCACTCGGCTGCAAAACTGCTGGAGAGATCACTAGTACATCCGTGCACCACGTTCTGGCATAAAAAAAATTCAGTGGGACTACTACATCTTCAACATGAGCTTCTTCAGAGCAGTGGCTCGCCTGGCCCGTGTGGCCGTGCCTAGAAACAGGCTTCTGCATATACCCGTCAACCAGCTTCGATTCAACTCTTCCATACAACAAAATGCATCTCCAGCGAGCTTGACTACCCAGATCCTCGGGCACGAAAAAGACAAGATCACCGAGGAGGACTTGGATGAGTGGTTGAGTGCCGTCAGAACCTTGAAGCAAGGTGACAAGAAGCCAGAGACGGAAACCGAGATTTACCTCGATGAGTTCTTGAAGCCAGAGCAGTTCTTGAACGAGAAGTTTGAACCCTCAGTGGCTCAGCTAGCTGAGGTCGAAAGATTCAAGGCAGCACCTGTGCCTCTCAAGGAAGACCCCACAGTGGAGCATTTTGTTAATGTCATCATGAGGCACGGTAAGAAGACCAGAGCACGTACGATCGTGTCTAGGGCTTTCTACCTTGTGTCTTTGAGAACTGGTCAGGACCCAGTGAGAGTGTTTTACGAGGCTTTGGAGAGACTCGGGCCTTTGTTTGACACTCGTACAGAAAAGACTGGTTTTGCCAAAAACAGAATCGTGCCTATTGCGTTGGACAAGCGCCAAAGAAACAGATACGCCATGAACTGGATCTTGGAAGGCTCGAACAACAAAAAGTCACCTGCATTGTCCGTGCGTTTGGCTGAAGAAATAATCAATGCTTTTGAGGGTCGTTCCTCAGGCTACGACAAGAAGGCCAGGATGCACAAAGAGGCCATCACACAGAGATCATACCTCAGAACATAGCTTGTATATAATAGAAACGATAACGGAGGAATGAGCGTAGAGGTTGGGTAGGGTTGAGTGAGGTACGTTTAGTAGAGGCACTGGTATACATGATTAGGGTCTCTGGGTATTTTACAGTCAAGAGAGCAACACGAACGACACTGCAATGACAATGATTCTTAAAAAGCATATATTATAATGGTGAGCCGGCCTTTGGTGTCCTTTTGAACATATCTCATTTTGGCTGCGAAATGTGTTTGTGATCCACCACAGTGCCATCTTTTTCCATGCCCACAATCCCCGAAACCTATAAAAGAATTCGCTATAAGGTCAATTTTTTTATAGTCGACACAAAGCTGAAATGGTACCTGACGTCCAGAAATCCACGACTCATTCAGTCCAAGTTCCAGGGTCAGACTCTCATTAGCTTGAGGGTGCACCCACACGATAAGTATCTCGTGAAGAAAGGAGAATTTCTTTCTTTAGAGAAAAAGCAGCCTGACCATTTCAGCTGGGGCAGTCTTGTGGATTTGTATTGCCAAGAGGCGGTGGAGAATATGTCTTTTCCCCCACCTGAGGAAGAGATACAAGAAGACCCCAAGGGTTGCGAGCAGCCCATGATACAGTCAGTGGATATTGTAAATAAGCGTGTTTCAAAAATCACCAGAGCTTCCAATTTCATCAGAAGCTTTCAACGTTCGAAAGCAGAAACAGGCAGGGACAAGGAGTCGCCTGGACCTGGGATCAGAAGAAGGATAATGTATAGCCGATTATTCAGACGGGGACACGATAAGTCTTCCGATGAGGCGTCGCCCTCGAACAAATCCTCCGATTCATGTCCTCGGGTATGGCACAGGATACTTAACGATGTTTCGCTTTCTGCTGCACAAGTCTCCACGGGCACTGCTCCTACTTCTAGAAGCGACTATGACAATTTAAGCAGTGACTTGACGGAAGGAAGAAGACGTGCGCTTGAGGTTTCTAGATAGGAGCTAAGTATGAAGTTATGAATTATTGGAGCATGTAGAGGCTGTATTTGCACCCATTGAGGATCTATGACTACTCTCGAGCTATTCTCGAGGGTATGCCTATTCTCGAGGATTTAACAATTGAGATACATATTAGCCTTCAGAATCAAATGTTAAGTAGCTTGATGCATCAACAGAACCTTGGCAGGGATCTTTTCTGACATCAGGTTTCCTCAGCCTTGTACCCACATCTGCTGGTATCACCATGTGCATACCCTACTAGAGACAACGTTACCAAATCACCTCAAATCACAAAATTCACCTTAATGACCAAATCATCGCCAGAAATCAAACCAAAGCGATCCCTCATTTACCCCAACCCTACCTCCACACCAACACCCCCCGATCCACCATCTTGTCTCACCAGCCTGCCAACGTTTTTTCGCAGCCAGTCAAACATCGCATATTACACACAGCGATTTTTCACCACACCCAGTAGCGTAAACAAATCCAAACATCCTCTTTAAACCCCAACAAATCACAAAACCACAAACCCTTATAAATTCACCGAGCCATCCGCCCCCTTTAGCACCCCCATCACCCCAATTACGCCCCATTGGACCCACCCACCTCTACCTAGACTGTGCTGAGCATCCTGCATGCCCATTCCCTCAACCCTCATTGGCCGCGATCTTTTCAACTCAACCAACAACTACACTTCTTCATGATCCGTGGATTCCGCTCAGTAGCTGCCCGCCGTCTCGTGAGCACGGCCAACGCGCCCACCAAGTTCACCACCTTGGCTTCTGGTGTCACCGTCGCCACCGAAACAAACCCAAACGCCCCATCCTCCACTGTGGGTGTCTACTTTGCTGCTGGTTCCAGAGCTGAGACCCCTTACAACAACGGTGTGGGTGCTTTGACCACCCGTACCTTGTCTCAGGGTCTTGACCAGGGTGTCCTTTTGCTGGCCACCAACACCAAGGAGGCCAACGCTTTTGTGGCCCAGACCACCAATGCCAACGTGAATGCTGCTGCCTCTGCCTTGTCCAAGCTTGTGGTCAACAGAGAGGAGTTGATCGAGAAGGCCGACTTCACCAGGGCCAAGGCCGCTTTGCGTGCCGACATTGACGCCTTGGAGGCCAACCCCTCCGAGATGGTCTTGGAGCACTTGGACGCTTCTGCCTTCCAGGGCTACTCCCTCGGTTTGCCCACCTTGGGTACCAACGACTCCGTCCCTGACATCGAGAAGTCCGACTCTCTCCGTTTCTTGGACAAGCACTTGGTTGGCTCCAACACCGTGATCGCCGCTTCTGGTAACTTTGACCACGATGCCTTGGTGGAGACCTTGGACAAGGAGTTCAAGCTCCAGGACGGCCCCAAGCCTACCAGAGCCCCTGCTTCCTTCTTGGGCTCCGAGGTCAGAATGAGAGACGACACCATCCCTAAGGCCTACATCTCCATTGCCGCCCAGGGTGAGGGTCTCTCCTCTCCAGCCTACTTTGTCGCCAAGGTCGGTGCTGCTGTGTTCGGCTCTTTCGACCAAGATAAGGCCACTGCTAAGTTCACATCGCCCAAGTTGGCTTCCATCGTCCAGGACTACCACATTGTCGACAAGTACACCCACTTCTCTCGTTCCTACTCCGACACCGGTTTGTGGGGTTTCAACGCCGAGATCTCCAACCTTGGCCAGGTTGACGACTTTGTCCACTTTGCCTTGAAGCAGTGGAATAGATTGTCCGTCTCTGTCACCGATGCCGAGATTGCCCGTGCCAAGGCCCAGGTCAAGACCGAGCTTTTGGCTACTCTTAACTCCCCTACTGCTGTGGTGCACGACATTGCGTCTAAGGTGTTGTTGAACGGCTACAGAGCCTCGATCTCTCAGTCCTTGGAGGCCATTGACGCCATCCTGAACTCTGATGTCCGTGCTTGGGCCAGTGCCGCCTTGTGGGACAAGGACATTGTCATCTCCGGTACCGGTTCGATCGAGGCCTTGTTGGACTACAACAGGGCCAGAAACGACATGGCCATGATGAGATTCTAAGCCTATCGTCACTCAAATTAGACCCTAATTGCATCCATATATTCTGACGGAATAAAATACACGCTATACATTATATGAGTCCACTTTCCCGCAAGTTTTGCTGGATCACCACATCTGTGGCGGCAGAAAGCACAAATCCCATTGCTTTGGTGTCTGTGGCACACGTTCTGTGCACGTAGATTGACTTCAGTGTCCGATTCAACTTGAGCAAAAGGCCTTCGAAATAATCGAGTACCTCGTTGACCAGGGTAGGGTCTCCTTCGTAGTCCTTGAAATACTGATTAATAGGCGACCTTGTAAGTTTCTCTTCAAGCAAATCTACCTTGTTGAGGAACAAAATGAACGGGGTATTCTTGAACCATCTGGAATTACAAAGAGCTTCGAAAAGCATAAGAGACTCTTGCATACGATTGACCCTCTCGTCTTCATAGAGCGTTTGGTCATATTCGCTCACGGCCAACACGAACAAAACAGCATCGATATCCTGGAAACAGTGAATCCATTTCTTTCTCTCCGAACGCTGTCCACCAGCGTCCAAAACACGGAATGTCATATTTTTGATGTTGAAATCATTCTCGGTAATGCCCGTGGTTTTGATCCTGCCCATGATGACGTCCTGGTCCAGACAACGGTACAGTGGGTTCGAAAACTTGAAGACGTTGTCAAAATAGTATGCGGCAGAGGACTCGAGCTGGAACTCGTTAGCCCGTTCAAAACAACGACGCACACCATCATCATGCTTCCAGAGCTGAGAGATGGCCTCGGCAATTTCCTCGTTGGTGTAGCTTTTTCTGTCTTGATACGATATGTTCGACTCCGTGTCTGTAGTATCAGAAACATACCCGGTTCCTAGAAGGTCTGTCTGCTCCTTCTTCGATACATTCTTGTAGCCAATGACGAACTTTTCCGTGATGGAATTGGCAGCGGAGCCGGTATCCGCCCCGGAAGCATTGACAATAACTCGTTTGTAAGCAGTTAGCGGCGAGCCGGGTTGGTCCGAATCCAACGGGATACGAAGTTTGCGGGCATTGAAGATCAACTTCTTCATTGATTCTATAAGATCCATCCATATGACGTCAGTGTACTGACGTCGTTCGAAGTCGGTGAACGAGTGGTGGTGTAGGAGTCTCATCTGCTTGAGAACAGTTGACTTTCCTGATTCTCCAGCACCTAAAAGGAACATCTTGACTACCTTCTTCTGATTCTCGTTGCGGACATGCAAGGAGCGGTCGATCGCCTCCGAGATGAGACGTTGTTGGAGGAATGTTTGGTCATCTTCGTCGTTTGATAAGCTCACAGTGCAACCCATTGCAAAATAGTGGTAGGTGGTTGTTTCAAGGGAGCGACAGCTTAAGTAGGAATTTGCACCCAACGGCCTGCATCGCGGCAGACCTTGTTTCAGGTTTAGCTTATTTTTTAGCTTGCATCAGCGCCTTAGGCAAATACAAGCATCCGCCTGTTTCAGCTCTGAATGGACCATAAGCCTCTATAAACCAGCTCGTATTAAAGCCATTGAGTGGTGGTAATTGGCGCGCTGTAATTACCTTACCTGTTTTGGTGCCATCCGCAGTTCTTCTAGCGTCCTGATCAGATGGCAGCAATGACAATGAAATATCCCAACATGACAAAAGAAAACTTGAGCAAACACAAACGAAGGAAAAGTACCAAATTCCATTTCCTCGTGAACCTGCGAACCGCCAACCGTGCATACCTATATTTCGCAGCCAATAGCTCAGGCGTCAGTTTGGCAGCGGTCGAGGTGTAAACTGGAATGGGCGTGGAAATAGACGAACCCTCGTCCTGCTCTTTCAAAAAGTTGGATACCTTTTTAGACATTGGGTTTTCCATGAGAATTGCCAGCTCGGGATCACCATGCGTGGGGAGGATCGAGTAATTGTAGTTATATCTTGAAGGCCTGAGGCGAAGAGAGTGTCCCAACAAAAGGAAGGCGATCACTGCAGCAGACACGGCGTATGAGATGACGTTAGCATATGGCGTTGGAAGATAACACAAGTGTGTGTCGTATGAAAGCTCCAGTTTTGAGGCATCAAATGAGAGGAGTTGAACTGCCGGATGCCAAATCCCCATAGCCATGCTGATCAGCTTGACTGTAATTTCCCTGGTTCCTGTAAGCGGATGTGTAACGTCGCAGTAGTCATGGTCATCGCCAGTAAACGAAACCACGGGGCGTATCTTAGTGAGAAGCTCATCCGAGATGTCAGACAGAAGCGCCAGCTGGTATTGGTATCCCGGACCGAGATGAAAGACGGGACTTTCACGAAGCGGTCCACACGTCTGGACCTTTGGGTCTCTATAAAAAGGAACGTGTGAGAGAAGCACTCTGGGGCGGGAGCTTTTTGGTTGCTCGTGGGGTGGGTTCGGGGCATTGAGCTCAGACTTAAGCTCGTCATCAGAGACGGCAGCATGAGGCTCCTCTTGATTCTTTGCATCCGATGATTTTTCCTCTGATGCGTTTTCTGCTTCGTTCTGCTTTTGGTTCTTAGTGTCGTCTGAGTCCTTCTTGTCCTCTGATACCTCTTCAGGAATGGCATTCAAGTCGGAGCTGACATCTTCACCCTTGGGCTTTTCCTCAAACAATGCATCCACCTCCTTTGTAACGTCTTTCAAGTTCTTTCCCGAGACGGGATCAACTTCTTCGCTGATAGCCCCAACTTCATCTCGCTTTGAAACACCAAGCGAGTCCACAAAAGCTCGAGCATCGGAACTCAACTCACCCTCTGCAGAGTACAGCGGCGTGTCCACAACCACAAAGTCCACACCATCAATCTCCATAATAGCATTGGCGGACCCAAAGATCCCCTCAAAGCGTTGTCGCAGATGAGCCTTGACCCCATTCCCGAAGCCAATGTCATGATTACCGGCCACATTAGTAAACCAGTTTTTTCCGTGTATGTACTTCTCCGGCCAGCGGTCAAAGATGCGCCAGAAACGGCGCACCTCGTGGTTAAAGTATTCGTCTGAGGCCAGCCTGCCATTGTCCAAGTAGTCACCCAAAAAGAAGATGTAGTCTGGTTGGAGCTTTCCAACAAGGGCTTTGTAGTTTTGAGCCAAGTAAGTATCCACTGTGTGCTGCAGAAGTTTGAGCAATGCACTATTCCGGCCGGGATAAGTGTGGTTGTCTATTAGTTGGGGGTCAGCCACCAAAAGCACATTTGTTGGTTTCTCACCGGTTTCTTTCCAATGGCACTGCCCGGCTGATCTGGCAGGCACCATCCACTCATAATACATGAACTGCACAAAGAAACCCGCCGCTAGCGCTAGCACTAGCGCATAACTATTGCGGACCTTGGGAAGAGACATGTGTTGATGTGCGCGCAGAAGTGGTGATGTTGATGAATCGGTAAGGTGGATGTGATCTCTATGGAATTTTTTTTCTTTTTCGAGAAAGATGTTTGTTTTGAAGGGAAGAAACTTAAGTTGAATTGTTTTTCACTGTAGCTAAGTTGATGTGATGTCGGAGGTGGCCCTCGAAGCGAGGCTGAATGGTATCTGTGATGTCGAGGCTACCGTGGTTTTGCGATACGCTTTTCGGGATTTGAGAGGGTAAGTCTTCTTTTGAGAAATCGTTTAAAGCCTAAATCATCCTGAATTATGAAGATATCTCCCTCATGGATCAATAATTCACTTATATCGCAATATGCTGCTATACTGAGTACTTCGATGTACCATTTACTATGAGCGAAAAAGCGTACACCATTCATGTAATTGGAACGATGAAAGTTGTATGATTCGCTGACTGACTAATGTTGGAATACTGATTAACGTTGGACCCCGATAGAAATGCTATTCAAGCCAAAGACAGTTATAGATTGAGGTCACCACAGTGTCACCCAGATGGGCCCTTTCACCATCAAAATACGAATCTGAAACTTGTTAGAACCTCTCGAGGGCTTTTGTTTGAATTACAGAAGGGTCGTGGTTGAGACTATTGGGTGCAAAATCGAGGTATTCTCCAGGCACAACACAGTAAGGCTTTGACTATGAATTCTAGTCACCAAAATCCTTTGAGAATATGACTCTCTTCAGCTTCATATAAAATATTTTATCTTTTAACTTTGCTCTTGACAATCTCTCTTGACTACTTATATCTTCAGTATGTCTTCCAACCGATCGGATGCGCATCGGAGTTACTTATGTTGACTGGCAAGTCAGTATCCGTCAGGGCAGAAAACTCAATTACAGAATCACATTAACCATTACCTTCAATTTCAAAGGTCACATGGGTATAAAAATAATTGTCTTTTGGTGTCCTCTGGTGATGTTGCATTCCAACTCGTTCGTTCATGCATGTTTTCGCTTTCCTGCCTTTAGTCCAAACGCTCGTACTACTCCATCACAGCTTCTTTCAAAACTTATCCCCATATCATTCTTTAATTGAACAAGCCCTCGTTTTTCCTAGTCAATATCAGTTCAAGCTTGACACAATTTGATCGATTGAAACAGTCTCCCCTCCAAAACCCGATTTTTCACCTGATCCCCAGCTAGGCTACACCATGGAAGACACCCTTTTCACGATTGTCATCGCCTCGGTGTTGGCAATTTTCTTTCTTTACCAAAACTATCTATCGTTCACCCGGGACGTGCCACCCGAGTATCTCGAACAACAAAGCGTGGTTGAAGCTGTGCGTAACCCTGGAGAACTGGCGATCTATAAGTCGCCCAAACTCGATTACTCCCTGGGACTTCGTGTTGGTTTTGGTATTCGCTTCGACCACTACAAGGTGCGTAACGGTAACTTGTGTGATGCATGGGAACTAGCCATGTATGGTCTTGAGGCGAATCCTCAGAAGCGTTTCTACTTCGATAACGCGTCCATTGAGCTCAGGGAGATCAATGCGTGGGCCCAGAAGATCTCCAGCTTCCTTCGAGAAAACGATGTGAAAGAATTGAAAGTGCCACTGGCGCTCTTCATTGACTCTGCTGAGGTCTTCGCAGCAGTGATTGCGTGCTTCATTTCACAGATCACCGTTCACGTCTGCAACGAGCCAGATTCTTGGTATGTTGATCACGAGGGCGATGATTTTTTCATAAAGGGCACTCAAGATGTCCCCATATTGTCCCTCAAGGGGGAACCTTCCTCGTTATTTGAAAACAACTACGCACCAGAAAAGGATAAGGGCATAGCACTTGTGGTGTCTACACTGCTTGGTCACAACACCTCTGCTACCGCAAAATTCTCCCAGATTAATCTTATATCTGCTACGGCCAGTAGCCTCAAACACCTTCCGCCATCCCACGAGTTGAGCAAAGATGACCGTCTCTTGGTAATTCAAAACGAAGATTCCACAGAGGCAATTTCCAACACAGTTATCAAGATCCTCGCATCGTTCGTTTCGAATGCCGACCTTTACCTCACCAAGAACACCTTGCTTGGAATGAGCTGGAAACCCACTGTTGTGTGTGCTTCTCAGAACACCGTTCAGACGTTGTACCAAGTGCCCCAGGGTATTCAAAAACTCTTCTACTGGCACCGCCATTTTGCCTTGATGCAGCTCAAGTTTTCAACATGGATGGCTCTGAAACCATACCCAGACTTGAGACTCGTTTATGTCCAGACAACAACCGCGTCGCGTCACGTAGACTGGAATAATGCCCGGGCAGCACTCTCTGTCCACATAGTCGAAGAATTGGGCGCCCTTAATGTGGCTGGCCCATTTCTAGTTACCGACTTTTATGACTATCGTAAGATTGACGCGTCCATGAGTGAGAAACTCATGTTCAGAGGTTGCGTGGTCCAGGCGGAAGAAGCCAAACTTGTTGATTATGATGGATCAACGCTGGGCGATGTTTGTGTCAGAGGCCACAATATGGGCAAAGCCACAATGTCAATGGCAGGCGTGGGCGAGAAGCAAATCACGCCGGATAACGAAGGGTTCTTTCAGATTCCCAGAATCAAGGGCAATTGGGGTCTGGATGGATGCCTCTATGTGTATAAAAGCTAAATAATTATGCCTCTTTTTCTGGCGAAGTCTCCTTGTTCTCTTCTTCGGGTTCTTCTGTGGCTTCATTTTTTCCGACACCATTGTAGAACGTGGACCACAAACGTCCCACATCGTCAAACTCTTTCCCTACTTGTACCGAATCATTGAGCGATCTGTTAAGCACATCGAGGTTGTACACGACCAGATCGATTGCAGACGAGATTTCAGAAAGTAAAAAATCTCTCTGTTTTTCAAAAGTTGTGCTGGGTGAAGGTGACGACATTAGCTGTGTGATTGAAGTTGATGTTTACCTCTACACCTGATGTTATGGGGCAGCGTATGCAGGTCCGACCATTTGGTCCACCACAAGACACTGAAAAGAAGAAGCCTGAAGAAGATGTGTGCTGAAAGTAACGAAAAAAAATAAATTTTTTGTAACGTCCCCGGTTGCTGTTGTTTCCGAAAAAGCCGGTCTGTTAAACCCCGTTCGCTTCAGGGTAGCAATTTGCAACCAACTGACTGCCCCAAAATACCAACGCCTGTATTCTTCATACTCATGTAAATGGCATCAAATAAATTCAGCCCCCCTTATTTAAAGCTGGGAACGATCATTTACCGTGAAAACATTTCTACAATTTGGATCTGCAGCAATCCTTAAAGCCCGGCCATGTTCGACGGAATTCTATGGGCCCAAATTCCGCTACCTCAGAGCCCTCTTTATGTGGATTTGCCCTACAACACCGAATATTGCAGGACAAGAGGCAAATGGTGCCCCATTTGGTTACCAAGATATAGTGATGTCCTGCAGACAGCGTCATTGCTGCCGACCCCAGCCAAGCTGACATGCCTACCCAGAGCCCCTTGAGCCACCTTTCCTGAAAAATGTCGTCTTTACCGCCACCGCCAGCCCCCAGCTTTTTTGGGTGACCATGTCACGGAACTCCTGGGTGCAAACCAGACCTACACAAAGGCCCCGAAAGACTCCCGTAACACCCGTACACCGCACCAGCGTATAAGTTTTGAAGCAACGAAAAACTTTTGATTTCCTTAACAACAACCAGGTAATTTACATTGAGCGCTCGCGCCGGGCAAAGTCCCCTAGTGTGATCGTACTCTCTCGCCTGGTAGAGCGATAGGATGGAAGTTCAGTTAAAGTTCCCCTGCAATGGAACTCCGACTCTACGTCCGTCCTGACATCTACCCAGACTTTTACTCATTTCAGCCTGTAGAAAAGAGGCTACCAAATGAAGACTTCTTCATAGTTGGAGAAGCCTTCTTGCCCCCTTCGAAGTACTTGTAGACCTACTATTGTTCAGCCTTTTTATAATCGAAACCCGAACAATAGCAGATATGATTGAACAAGAAGAGGTGAAGAGGAATTGAACATAATGGTGATATACCTCCAAAAGATGCTTTTAGTGAACTGAGCACATCTCGATCTACGTGTGCTGCCACAATATTTCACCAGAAGCCCATCTCAGCAAAGCTGAAGGAGCACTTACAACGTTTTAGCAGAGAGCAGGCCTTGGCCTCCACTCTGATTACAGCTGCATTCCAAGCTAGGCGGCCTTCGCCGCTTTGCATTGGCTTTGAACTCCTACCAATATCTTTTAAACCAACCGGTATACACAAAGTACACAATATAATACACGAGCGCAGGAGGCTCAAAACTTCTTGCCGAGACAGAAGGAAACAGCACAGGGGGTTGTCCTGGGCTGAGAAGGATGCTTCTGGTTGCAACGGCGCATGTAATCCTTCTTCTCGTCAAACTTGGCAAAACCCTTCTTTTGGCCCGTGAGAGAGCCGATCAAGGAGCTCGAATCCGAGGCAGACGAGTGGGTCGACAGCAGTGATTTCTTCTTCGATAGAAAGGGCATCTTTCAATGACTCATGCTAGGAATATAAATACAACGGCCCTGGGCAGATGGCGAAAAACGGGCCTAAATACCGCAAAATATCAAAGGTGTGGAGCGGGACCCCTGGTGGTCTGAGACCTTGAGGAAAACAGGGAAATGTGGGATTAAAAAGGGGGAAAAAACTTGTGTTTTTAGGGAAAACTGACGGCCAAGTTATTGGCGGCAGCGCTGTCTTATATAAGGCTTCCTGCCGGGGGATTTGGGCAGGACCTGATCGGTGAGACATTTTGTCGCAAAAAATTTGTCCATTACTGGATTGAGCAGCTGCTGCCACCGCGACATGCTGTGAGGGCACGAAATGTGACAGCTTTAATTCCCTCAAGCCAGGACACGACCCAAACACAGGGCCAAACAACGGGGGTTTGGCCGTCAAAAAGGGCATTTTTACAAAGAGGGAGGTTCACAGTAACGAATAAACAAAATAGATTCTAAAAATCTACTTCATATCGTTCTTTTAACCAAC